GGGAGTAAAACCCTACAGGATAATTGTCAACAGGCAGTCTTGAAAATATTTAGGTAGTCAATATAACACGGAAGTACCGAAATATTATTAAACATGTGGCATTGTAAATAATTTTATTATAAATATAATTTAATTCAAATCTATATTTTAGAATTAAACCATAGCACGCTACTAGATATTTTTCTTTTACAAGGAAACCATGACAACGAAAACCTTACGAAAAATCAGTCAGAAACAAAAAATTGTGTTATATAGAAACATTAAAAAAAATAAATACATTTTTTTTTAATTTAAATGTGATCAGTTTGAAACTAATAAACTTATAATAAATTGAATGTATTTTTTTTAAATTTAATTTTACACAATACTCTATACAATCTGTACAGTTGATGCACAATAAGCATATTTGATAAAAAGCCACCCACTAGTGGCACTTTACTGGGTGTTGTATGAATCTAACTATATAATATATACACTTATTTTTCTATTTCTTCTCTCAGATTAGTTCCCTAACCAGTCAAAGCACCAGATCTTTTTTAGACAATGCCTGGGGTTGCCAGGTAATGTTTGGGTGGATAGATTTTTAATGAGTGGGTTTTGGTGATGTTTTGGTAGACGGCATGAAAGGTTTTGTAGAAGTCTGTAGCTTCTTATGTCAAGGTTTTAATTGACAGATCATTATGTAAGGTGTAATTAGAAAGAAAGAGTGGAGCATTATTTATTTTCCTAAGCGCAATATTCTGAAATTGTTGAATTTTGTTGGTATTGGTTTGAGGAATGTTTTATACATAAGAACTTTAATTTTTAAACTGGAGTGTTAATTTTTTGTGAGTAGAGTTTATAGCCAGCGAACACGGGCGTTTAAGGCAAATCTCTTAATACGGATATGGCTATTCCAAGTGAGGCGCTTATCCAAGTTAAGTCCTAGATATCTAAATGTGTCAGATGTGGGAATAAAATTTAATGTATAAATATTAAATACTGTTGTCATATAATTGATTTTGTTTTTATATAATTTATTCAAATCAGTAAAAATGATCTTTCACTTCTACTTTACCTCTATGAACTGTTTTCGTATCTGAAAATGTTTGTTGTATAGCAAAAAGATTAGCCAAAGTTCCCATTACCATAATGAATATACCTACAAAAAATATAAACTGAAAAAAAAAACGTATAGTTAATATTACTTTAACACAAAACTATTTATTATCATTTACTAAACAAGTTGACACACTTACTCTGGCCCAAAACCTTTCTTTAGGACTTTTATTTGCCACACGTACTAAAAACATAGAAGGAAACATAACATTTATCATAACTCCTATGGTGGATCCAATCAGTCCCAATACCACTTCTATATTAGGCATTAGTAGACCGGTGACTAAAGAAAACAATACTATAAAAAATGTGATGCATTTGAAAGGGGTTTCTGCAATATGTTGTCTTCCTCCAGATACGAGTACATAATCCTTAAGAAAAGAAATTTAAAATTATATTTTACCAATCAGGATTATACTAATTATACTTAATTTGAAATTAATTGTAAATGTAAATATTCTTGTTATCTGAGTTGTAATCTTACTTTTGTAGCAAGTAGAGAGTATATTGATGAACGGCATGGAAATATTACCAAAGGAAAACTGACAGCGATAGACATAACAAAACCAATTTTAATTATGTCACTAGACATGCATTGTGAAAAACTAGTAAGAATGTTCCCTGTAAATAAAACAACATTGAAATTAAATATTTACTCCAATTAAACAGTATGAATAACAAGTAAATTATAAAATATAATAATACTATTCAATATTTTATGAATATTCTGTAAATCGTAAGTATAAATAGTACAATACAATATTATATTTTTTTTAATAATTAGAAAATTGTTCAAAACATTTGGTTGGCTACACTGACGATTACATGATAACTTTTTAAAAAACAGTTTTATCACAGAATTGTATTGCCATGATCATAACAATCATTTATTTTGATAGTGTACAAAACGAAATTTTGCTGATGTAAATTGTAAACAAAACAAATAATAAAATAAAACAGTTTAATGAAATATGAACAATAGTGAAGAGTATTACAGACAATTACTCGACAGTTAATAATTTAATAAGCATCATTAAAAAAATTCTAAACCTAAATTTAAATTATATTATCATAGAAGCAGAGATAATCTGTGATAGCAGCACAGAATAATTCTAATAGAAGTAAGTACAAATGTTTAACATATTGAACTATTGAAGAGAGAATTTGTTTTATTATTAATAATAAGTAATTCACACAGTTTAATATCATATAATAACTAATTCACACAGTTTAATATCATATAATAACTAATTAACAATAATTAAACATTTTAGATTATAAATATGACAAAAACTGAGAAGAAAAAACAAGAATTCAATATAGAGATAACCCAAAATCGGATTAATTACCTATATCAATTAAGTACAGGTCTGGCCGAACAATGTCCTGGCTTATCATCGACATATAACTCTATAATGAAAGGTTTATCGCAAAAAAGTTTACTAAAAATTGATCCAGAAATTAAAAGGAATATCTGTAAAGGTTGTGATACTTTGCTAATACCAGGAAAAACTGTAACATGTCGCACAATAAAAAAGTCCAAAGGCACAGTTAAATGGTCATGTAATTTTTGTGGAAAGTCAAAAACTTTTAGAAAAAATAACAATAATTGTATGTGGTCAGAAAACTCTGAATTTTTGTTACAAACTATTATTTACGATTAATAAAATAAATTGTTTTACCTGTTAATACTGAGTCGTAATGTGCAATATATCCCAGAATTCCTACACTAATATAAACACTAGTGCACATATTCATCGATGAGCGTATTACTGCATTTAACTTATCCAATGATTCATTTGTAATTGTCTCAAATATATCAAACAGCTGTCTATTAATCATACAATTTTATAAATACAATTAATATTTTATTTATTTTAAAAACAATTATAAATAAACAAATACCGAATGAAAATATTTCATATAATTGACAATTGTAAAAACATATTTTATGTTCAAAGTTATAAAAATAAGTAAATTATACATTCATCATAGAGAAATTATTTTATTTTATTAGAGATCTAATTTTGGTTTGATTGAATAGTCAACATGCATAATTATCGAGACAGCATGGCTAATTTAAATGCTTTTATAAACTATTTATTACTATGAATATTTATTTTAAAGTAAAATGTTAAATAGGATTAGATATTTTAAGCAATTTGTATGTTATAGAATTAAAACAAATATACAAAACATTCTTTAATTGTAATTAAACCACTCCTAATGAAATACTATTTTGAGTTTAAAGAAAAATATGTATTATAATTTAGTAAAATCATATTAATTATTAAGTACTATGATATCTACAAATAATACTTAATTCTTACGTTTGACAAAATAGAGACATTGAAAATATTGGTAAACATTGGAAAAGACCAACTGGTTTCCAAAAATATATTTCTGAAACCCAAACAAAAGAGAAAAGTTTGTCAAAAGCTTCGATGAAAATCTGAAAAAAGCATAACAAATTATCAAAGGTATAATTAATATTGTAAATATTATTTATTTAATCTAAAGACCTACCTTAAATACTAAACAAGCATAAAATATTATTGCTGCTGTACAAATTGTATTTAAACTATTAACATCACGTAACAACCCCAACGGTAATACTACAAATGCAGCTAAACCTATAAATAATTTGTATTAACATAAATAAAAGCAATTGCATAATATTAATCAAGCCAAAGGGCAGTTCGATAATCTTAACATAGTTAATAGTTATATAAATATATAATTTATATTTGTAAAAATTATGATTAATTTATAATATCATACAATATTTACCAATCATAATGCTGGGACGAAGAGCTGCAGTATTTTTTATGTTAAACGTATCGCCAATTATCTGTGGTCCTAAATCACCCATAACAACAAAGAATGCAATACAGGTCCCCATAAGAAACATTATTATGCTCAACTCAACCGTGACTTTCCCTAATTTTCCAAATAAATGGAATGCTGGAATAAATAATATCAACAAACTATTAATATCAAATTTTGTAAAAATAAATGTAGTTGCTTACCTAGAAATTCAAAATCTCGTGTCCTCGATTTAATAGCAGACTTTAAAAGAAAATGACAAGAGGCTCTCGACATTAAATTACTTAACACCAATAATAAAGTTGAAAGTACTATTCCACACTATATAAATGAATAAATATAGAGTTACACATTAGTTATATATTCTTAAATTATAATACAATATCATGTTTACCTCTTTATAACAAAATGGCATAGCTAGTATGCTAACGCCGATAATACTGTTGGCTAACGTCATTACATGGGCTCTCATTTTAAAAACGTATTTCTCATTAAACTGTTTTAAATAGGTTGGTCATTGTACCTAATTAGAAAATTTGCAAATTTTAAAACTTAACAATATTATAGATACCTAGTAAATTTTACATTCTAAAAGAATTTATTTTAATGAAATTATGCTGTTAAAATTGTGAGTTTGAATGATTTTATATTATATTAATTGTTAATCTTTTAACAAAAACAAAATGTAAAACTTATAGTTGGATATTTATTATTCGCGTATACTTATTGCCTAAAAGATGGTGTTGAATAGAATTTAAAAAACTGCCAAGTATTAAAGTTAACATAAATAATATGTATGAACTCAGAAACAAACACGTAGTTATGTATGATAAGACATTTTGGGAAACCCTGGACACCACATCAGCGGTGATAAGAATTAAGTTTATGATGGACGAGAAAAATGAAATAGTGAAAGGCACCAAAACTTTATTAACCAAATTTACTAATTATTAAATTATACTTGACTATTTTTTTTTTTATAGCTGCAAATATTAATCAGACTTTGGTAGTTCTATGTTTTTTGATTTGTGTATAAGTATTTTCTGAAACAGTGCTACCTATACAAACTGTACAAAATGGGAGATTCTGTTCAAACAGTAGGATTCAAAATAACATTAACATCGGATCCAAAACTACCATTTAAAATACTTAAGGTACCAGAAGCTGCTCCATTCACTGCTGTTTTAAAATTTGCAGCTGAAGAGTTCAAAGTATCACCCGAAACATCAGCCATAATTACAGATGATGGGATCGGTATAAACCCACAACAGACTGCTGGTGTTGTTTTTCTAAAACATGGATCGGACCTGAGGCTTATACCAAGAGATAGAGTCGGATACTTTAAATGTTAATATGTAATATAATATTAAAATATTAAATTTTTAAATAAATTATCAAATAATCTGTTTCGGTTTGTATTAATTTATTTAACATTTATTTTTTATTTTTCTATACAATACCTTATAATAAATTGTGAGTAAAATAATTCCATTTGTATAAGAACGAAAAATTGTTCTTCAAGCAATTCTTAAAAGACATCCTGATGTTGTATTCATTCTAGGTAAATATTAAATTTATGTTCATTAATAAAATACTTATTGTTCATGTATTGTTTGTAACTTATATTACTTTATTATATCTTCTGATCCTTTAATATCATGTAAAAAGTATTTAAAACCGAGTTCTTTTATCTTTGATACCTTAGCACAACGAACTTCTAAATCCTAAAATTATAAATATTATATTTTTATTATGTTTTAGTGTATTATTATTGTGCACCTATTTAATTAAAGAAAAAAACTTTCAACATTAATTTAAGATGTTTGAAAAGCAACTTCCTAAAGTAACATAGAATTAAATCATAGATAGGAATTTACTAGGACCCTGCTAGCTTTTATGACTCGTATCCTAAAATGTGCTCTCTGGACGTGTGAACTATGAACATCCCTGATTTAAGAATATTTTTGGAATACTAGTTTATTTAAATATTAAATCTCATAAAAAAATATAACAATTAAAAAAGTCTTTTATCCATATACAATGACTGGTATAGGTAATAAGTTATTTATGTAAATATAATCTAATTAAGTCTCCTATATTATAATCATAATTCATAAATATTAAAATGTGTTTTATTATTTATTAATATAGAGTATAGACCATAGAGTTAGTGTCGGAACCATTATTAGTGTTGTTAGCAAAATTTGTTTACCATAATACAATATCTGTCAATATTAAATACAATTATCAATTAGTTATTTTATTATATATTAAAACTAATTTAGAGTACTTAAAACATTTTCTTAACATGTTTCCTAAACATTTAAGTATTAGGTCGAATACATCTAAATTAATTTATTGTTTTATAAATAAAGGTATGCAAATACTAAATAGTTATGACGACTTTAACTATGATGTGTATTGCACAATTTAATCTAGTACCTTTTCACTTAGTAAAATGACACATGATCACTGATCAAATATAATATTTCAAATTTTAATAAAAAGAATAAACAAAAATGGCTAAAGAAGCAGTTTCATTCAGTTCTGAACATCTTGATTTACTAACTTAAAAACTTAGTTCAGACATTTGGAAACTAGTTTTAATTTAATACCAAGTAGGTATGTAAAAAAAAATTTGTTAATCCTAATTATACAAGTCACTTCTGAGTTCTGAATGATTTAAATTTAAATTCAATGATGAATCATTGTATAAAAAAGAAAAAAATTCTGAGTGAAATAAACCAGTGTCTAAGGATAGTTACTGATTGCTCAATCTCAAAACAATGTTTATTTAAACATAAATTAAGTAAGTCTTATAAATTTATACATAAATTGTATGCTCTGTCCAATGAAGAACAAGCCAATATTGCGCATCAGCATGCGACACCCTACCACCGATTCCACTATGGCAAGGTGTCATATGGGGATGCACAGAAGAACAAATTGTTGACGGTCTGCAGTAATGTACATCATCATGTTTTTATACTTTTTAGAGCACTAATATCTGTTCTTAAAACTGAGTTGAGGTTGTCGTGACTAATTGTTGTATATTTTATTCCGAAAAATGAATAATGAATATACTTTGGTGACCCACTGAGTATAGTCATTATTTATATCTTAATTTAAGTAATGAATCGTGTAATCGAAAAACATATTAAATATTGTTAAAATTCCATAAAAAAAAAAAAACAATTAAGCAATAAATTAATATATATATATATATTATTTTGATTTTTACAAGATATTTACAGTTTGTTTATAGGAACAATAGGCAAATATGATTTATAGTATTTATGTACATAATGGGTGTCTAAAGTATAAGGTTGATCAGCAGCAAATAAATTATAAAGAACAGGCGCGAGAACTCCCTTGGGAGGATAATTGGAAAAAATCCTCAGAATAAAAACTCTCAGATAAAAAATCCCCAAAGCAAATACTTATATATAATTGTAGATATTAAATTACTCATAACTCGCTTTAAGATTAAAATATCATAAAAGTCTATGATATTTCCTAAATAATAATCTTACCTTTAAATTTTATAAGAGATTCACTCTAATTTTAAAACAGAACCAACTACTTTATTGAAGAATGGAATAATAGGTTCTCAAAACTAGTTGGTCAAAAATGCCCTCAATATGGAAACTTATAAGAAAAATTAAAAACAAAATTAAAGCCCATCGAGCCAGGTTAACATTAGATGCTTTAGGTGAACGCAAAGAGAGTAGTACAATATAAAAGGCCACAATTAAATTGAAAACATCTGTCTAAATAAGTTAGTTAAAAGACAAAATAAAAATAATATAACCCTTGGAGAATTTTTAACAGCTGTGTTTAATAACATACACAAGCGAACTGACTAACTTTTTTTATAACAAACTGTCTGACCAAGATAAAATTCAAATAATTATTATTTATTATTACTATAATTTTTTTTATATTATGTGTAAGCAAACTGAAGTCTGAGAAACTTTTTTTGTAATAAACTGACCAACTAAATATTATTTATATTATTTTTTATTTTATGCGCAATTGAACTGATAATATTATAAAAATTTTCATTCAAATTTTTCCTTTTTTTTTATTATTAGTTATTATTTTTGACAGTTGTATCCACGATTTAAGATAGTATGGTTGCCCAACGAGCTATGATAAGGTGGCATTGGATTTAAATCGTGGTTGTACAGTTAGGTATAATTAGGTGATTTTTTTTTGCTGTAGATTTTTTATCCAGGGGTTTTTAATCAGGAGATATTTTTTCCTAGATTCCTTGGGAGACACCAGTTGAAATATTGAATGTTGGCTATAGTTGAGAGTGCATTTCCGAATTTTGAAACATCTAGGAAGACACATGTGCAGTGTAATTATTTTTCCAATGAGTAAGAGATATGGTATCCATTACTCTGGGCACTTCTCAACAATTTTTGAAAATAATTGGAAAAATTTGTTGTACCAAACTTTTTGTAAAAAATAGTAGTAGACTCATAAACAACTTACACTTTCTAATATCTCTTGAAATTTTCTCCGTTTAATTATTTGAATAATATATTTTCGACCTTCAATGTAACGCTTTATAAAGTTACCAGATGATGGAAAAGATATCCAATAACTTTCTTGATTTCTAATCAATAAAAGCCCACAGTTGATCAATTCTCTGTAAATAAGTCATATTGTTTATTACCAAGATAATAAAACAGAAACTTAATTCAAATAATTACGTCAATTCATATTGCTGCAATTTAAATTGTTGAAGCAATGTACATTTTTCCACTCCAAATGATTTTATTGAAGGTAAAATAATGTTTAAAAATTTGTTGACACAACGATTTTCTGGATATATATTTAAAGTGTACTTAACATAATCTTCATATAATATTAAGGCTGAAGAAGAATCAGAAGTTCCAATTGTAAGTTTTTGTATCTTGGACTGCTTTCTTAATATCTCCTATGGATAAAATTTAAATGACACATTTCTATAAAGAACAAGCAATTCAAATTATATTTACCAACCAGCTCTTTATTAATCAATGTCCTATTATGTACTATATCATATAGTTGGTGAATAAATACAATCGGTGGGTATTTAAATGTATCCTTTACAGTGACTGGTAATAATGTTTTAATATACCTTATGGCTGCTTCTGTATCATTCGGTAAATCACTTATAGGTATACTGTTGTCATCTAAAGATAATTTTATATTAAAACAAATACACTTTAAAATCAACCAAATATACTTTATTATTCAACAGATAATGTAGTTTGTACATTGTACGTAGTATGAAATCTACAATAATAACAATTTACTTAATGTTTAAACAGTATGTTATAGTCTATAGATATATTTACCAATATCCGAAGAAGACATTTCCAAATTTCCAATTCAAAGTAAATAAATAAAAATTAAACGGATATAGATCATTAATACATATATATATATCATATACAGATCAGATACATATATCATTAAATACTATTTCGTAGAAAAAATCATATAAGTTTTTATTTGTTAAACCCATCATTTTGTGGGGATAATAATACAATATTAAAAAAAAATATATATAAAATAATCAGGTAGCAAGTAGTAACTATTACCATTGATAATAAATACCATAGACAGATATAGTCTGTGTATTAACTAAAGTTAATATGTCTATGATAAATACCATGATAAAATATACTATAGATTAGTGATTACCCACTAGGCCCGGTTTTTCGCATAGATATTATAATATATATATTATATATCTTATAATATCTATGGTCCTTCGGCGGTACGAAATATTTACTACTAATACCACCTAATCGGGCTAATACCAGCATCATGAAGACATGAATTAAGATATAATATCCACTGACCACCATAATAAACCTATGAACTAGATTAAATCTATTCTGTGCTAATACTACTAGCGATTACAACGTTACACGACATAACTATTATTTACTCATCCGGGTGGCTGTGATATTGGGTGCGGGGACTTGTGGTTATTAATGTCGTGAAATTGTCACAAATCAACCATTAAATGTTTGTAAAAAAGATTGTGAAAATATATTTTTGTTATTTTTCAACTAATATTTTTTGACAATATACTTAGATGCGCCTCATATTAAATTTTCAAGCTTTTTGACCCAACAAATACGATTTTATTAACATTTATTGATAAGCTAAATGTAATTTAAATTTGAAATTTTCTCTAAATAGCTCAAAACAAATCAACACATTTTCCAAATTTTATCAAGTATGGGAATTGATAAAATAAAAATATGAGGTAAATTTCAAGTATCTACGGTTATTCATTTTTGAGTTACAATAAAATAAGCAAATCGTTACATGAGAAATCGATAGAAAATATCCAACGTTGTAAAAATTTGAACTTCAAACGCTCATAAGAATGTAATTAACTTTCCGGTAGACAATTTTAAAAGTAAACAAACTTATAAGGAATCTTGCATTAATTTTTCAAATCTTAGATTTAAATAAAGAAAAATGGTGTTATCATATGAAAAAAAGGTGGGCAAGTGGGTGTCGCTCTGCTGTACAGTAGGTTACAAGTGGGTCACTGTAAAATAGATGGTATTACATTTGAATTCAATGATATTATATCATTGTATAAGAAAAACGATTCTGAGAGGAGACGGTATGTCCTTCTAGATACAACTATACAAGACATATTATATAGGTACTCTTATCTATGGTATTAAAAAAAAAACCTATAATGAATTCCAAATTAATCATATCACAATACCCATTAGGTACTTATAACGCGTTATACACCAACAACAAACCCTGATACTATCATAGATATTTATAGTAGTATAAATGTATAATACTTTAGAAGTTTCAAGTACCCACGAATAATATTATACAATCACAAAAAAATAACTAAAATAGTTATTCTAGGTTTTTTATTATGTAATTTCGTCCAAATTTGAATTAAAATGTCTGTAAAAAATAACTGTGTTCATATATTTTTTACATTTTTTGGTTACAGTATGAACTATTTATGAGAACCTTTGTTTTAAATTTGTAATCCTAAGCTATAAAAACTGAACATTTTATAATTTATTAATTACAATAATGATTGATAATTTTGATAAATTTTGTCAAAATTCGATCTTTAAATGCATATAAAAAAAAATTGTGCCTATGTATTTTTATTATTTTTCAATCGCTATTGTAACAATATATCAGGAGCCTTGTATTAATTTTTTACACTTTTTGGGCCAACAGATAAAACTTAATTGATATTTATAGAAAAAAAAACTAAAAAAAATTGAAAGCTGTAAATGTCCGTAAACAGTTCAAAAAGAATCAAAATATTTTCAAAATTGTATGGTGTATAGAAAATGCTAATATAAACATTCAGTGAAATTTGCATGTATCTACAGTTATTCGTTTTTGAATAACAACAAAATAAGGAAATCGCTACATGAGAAATCGAGATTCACTCCAATGTTGTAAAAATTTGAATTTCAAACGCTCATAAAAATTTAATTTGACTTTCTTAGAGACATTTTTTTTTTTGATAAAGGTAGATAATCTTATAAGGAATCTTATATTACATTTTCAAATCTTAGATTTAAAAAGAAAAATTTTTACGAATTCTTAAGGCGGCTCTAAACGATTGGATTTTTCATGCATTTAGACCAATAAGCTGGCGAAAAATACACATACTTCTAGTAGTCCAATTTCAATTTTGAATGCTTATTTGGATTCGTTAGCCTCTTTTCTATGATCTGTAGGAAAAACTTTTTCATCTTTTTGTCTAGTTAGCACTTAAAAGTGCAAGTCAAATTTGAGAAATCAAGCAGTCATTTGGAACCGTAATATACGTAAATTATCTAAAATATCCAAAATCGGTTTCCTACAAATCATAGAAAAGAGGCTGACGAATTCATATAATTTTTCAAAATTGAAATTGGACTACTAGAAGTATGTGTATTTTTCGCCAGCTTATTAGAATTTTTCACTGTTGTGAGTGTACAAAAATATTTTTCGAGAGTGATTACGTTGACATGTGCATGCGCGTACGTGTGCTATTGAACCGTGTGCCCGCAGCCGGGCGATATAAAATCTATTGTTATCGAGTTCGAATTTCTTCGAATTTCACACTAATAATCATTTACGACTAACACATATTCTGCTAATTTTCGTGATTTTTCCATATTTTGTCAATTTTTGAACTTAAATGCTTATAAAAAAAAATTGTGACTAAGGATTTTTAATATTTTTAATCTGCCTTTGAAAAAATATACTAGGAGCCTTCTATTAAATTTTCAACCTTTCGCAACCAACAAATAAAATATTATTGATATTTTTGAAAAAAAACTACAAAAAAATGGAAAATGAAAATGACCCTAAACAGTTCAAAATAAATCAAAATATTTTGAAAATGTTATCGTGTATATAAAATGCAAAAATAAATAACCAGTGAAAATTGCATATATATACGTTCATTTGTTTTAGAGTTACACCAAAGACCAAAATCGATTTTTTGGAAAAACGATTTTGCGTAAAAATTCCCGTTTTTCCTTAATCTTTATGTTGTTTTTCCCGGCGCTTGTGAAAACTACTGCGAAATTTTTACTTTTGACACCCCAAGTACCAACTAGATTCACTTTCCTATCAGAAAAGCTACTGTTAAAGAAAATCCAAGCACTTTTACTGTTCTAAAACGTGATGACAGACACAAAAATAAAAAAAAAATAAAAAAAACACACATCATTGTAAAATCAATACATTCATCGTTTCACTCAGAATCTAAAATTTCCTCGATTTCTCATGTAGCTATTTCCGTATTTTGTTGTAATTCAAAAACGAATAACTGTAGATATATGAAAATTCCACTGGATGTTTATATTAGCATTTCCTATACACCTTACAATTTACCAATTCACCAAAATATTTTGACTCTTTTTGAGCTGTTTACGGACATTTACAGTAATTTTTGTAGTTCTTTTTCTGCAAAATATCAATAAAGTTTATCTGTTTGCCAAAAAGTGTAAAAATATTTTACAAGGCTAATGATATATTGTTAAAATATCAGTTGAAAAATATTAAAAATATATAGGCCCATTTTTTTTTTATATAGATTTAAAGATCGAATTTTGACAAAATTTATCAAATTTATCAAATTAATAATTATTTTGTAGTTTAGAACTTATGAAATGTTCAACTTTTATATTTAAGAATTTAAAATTTAAAATTTAAAACAAGATTCCACGTAAGTAGTTAATTCTGTTACCAAAAACTCTAAAAATAAATAGACACAGTTTTTTTTATATTCATTTTAAGTTCAAATTAAACGAAATTACATAATAAAAAAACCCTAGAATAACTATTTTAGTTATTTTGTTGTGATTGTATAATATTATTCGGGGGTACTTGAAACTTCTAAAGTACCTATACTACTATATATCTATATGATAGTATCAGGGTTTGTTGTCGATGTATAATGCGTTATAAGTACCTAATGAATATTGTGATATGATTAATTTGGAATTTATTTTAGGTAGGTCAATTTTTTTTAATATAATTCGTTTTATACCGAGACTGACATACAGTCTCCGCTCAGAATCGTTTTTCTTATACAATGATATTATATCATTGAATTCAAATTTAATACCATCCATTATACAGTGACCCATTGTAACCTACTGTACAGCAGAGCAACTTTTATAAATTACCAATATTTTTTGATTAAATGAATTTGGAACGTAGGTACCTAATAAGTACCTAATATAACTTTTTTCAAAATTTTTTTTTTGGGTATTTGCTGACATGAGTACATTTCTTAAATTATTTACTAATCATATAATTTTAACAATTTTTGACATGCGTTTAAGTAGCAGCATTTTTTTTTTCACTAGTTCTTCAGTTTTCTGTTACACCCCGTATTTTAAATTTAAACTTGAGGATGCTACTACAGATTTTTCACAACAGAGTGCAGAGCAAACCATCAGCATTTCCGGTCAAATCACGTTGGACGCACTGTAGTTTTATTTATCCGTCCTTTCCTATCCCTTCCGTTCAACAATGCACCACATTAGTACATTACCAATTCCCATATGGCTTTTTGTGACGTTTGAGTGGTTGTCGTTTGATCAAAACACAAGTTACTTCATCAAGCGCTTCCCACTTGAGTACTTACTACTTAATGGTTTATACGTTATATCTAAATTAATATCTAACTGATTCGAGTGACACACGAAATACGATTTTCAGCTTGTATCTTATCAAAATATATCAATATTTAATTCGTTAGTTGTCCTTATTTAATTATTTTCGTTTTTCTCGACTGTAATTTCGCCCGCTCGTTCACGCATCACGCCAACACAAGATGCCTATGATAAAGCTGCAGAGTTCGGATGGAGAAGTGTTTCAAGTCGACTTTGAGATCGCCAAGGCTTCGGTGACGATCAAAACTATGGTGGAAGACTTGGGCCTGGAAGAGGAAGACGAGGAGATCGTCCCGTTGCCCAATGTGAACGCTGGTATATTGAAGAAAGTCATCCAGTGGGCAACCTACCACAAGGACGACCCACCACCGGCCGAAGACGACGAAGGACGTGAAAAGCGCACCGACGATATATCCAGTTGGGACGCGGATTTCTTGAAGGTGGATCAGGGTACGCTGTTTGAACTCATATTGGCCGCCAACTATTTGGATATCAAAGGCTTGTTAGATGTAACTTGCAAGACAGTCGCTAATATGATCAAGGGTAAGACACCCGAGGAAATAAGGAAAACCTTCAACATCAAAAATGATTTCACGGCCGCAGAGGAAGATCAAGTACGTAAAGAGAATGAATGGTGTGAGGAAAAGTAATTGATTTTTATCTACAAATGAATTTTTTTTTTGTCAACAGCATATATTTAATTTTTCATTCGATAATAAACCTTTATTTTATATTTGTTTACATTTTTTTTTTTAGTTTATATCTTAATATAAGGAAAATTTGGATTTAAACATTTGTTGTACATTTTACCTGCTTAATTGTACTTGGCCTTATTAAATTAAGTAGATCAAACTACGCGTACATTTCAAATAATTGATTTGTGTGAGTATTGTTTAATTTATAACTGAATTGCCTAAACTTTTACTGTAAGTTCCAATATAATATTGTGTATTTTTACGAAAAGTGTATATTATTTTCTTGACAAATTTCAATTGATATCAATACTGTTTTCGTTTATTTAATTTAAATTCTAATCTCTTTTTCAAAGTATAATTTGCATCGCTTAAAACTATTGACTAAAAAATTGAAACATTCTGTGATAGAATTTTTATAAATCACCAATTGATGTCAGTTTTTGTCAGTTTTTTGTTAAGTTAGAGTTTATAGAATTAGTAATATTAAAAATGTACAAAAAAAATTAATTCACTAATAAAATAGAATATTTTGTGTTCCATCTTGGTGACTAGATTAATGTTATTTATTTGGTCGGCAGTACAGCTTAAGGAAAATATTCTCTTTTTATCAGCAGTCCTGGCTGTGTACTAAATAGTATGTTATATTTTATATAATATGTCTATGAAAATGTTAAAAAATGTGAATTTTATTACAATGAAACTTACGGTCACTATAGTCTGGAGAATATAAAGTGGCCCCTGATGCGCACACTTTTGGTGGTGAATTTATTATTAGATTTATATATAATTACCTAATACAAATATATTATAGAATGATGTTGTAATGATTTTTAGTATCCCTGCTTTCCGAAGAAAAAAAAGTTTGCTAACTTATCACCAGCGGCTACTTTTCGTTCTCCTTACTATAATATTGGCCAGTGGCAGTGTTGGGTAGTAACGTAACTTTGCTTGTAACGTGTTACGTAATTTCATTAGAAGTATTTCCAAGTAACGAAAATGTAATGGAAATTACTCTTGAAAAGTAATTTCTATAGTACCTATAAAGCGTTACAGTTCCAAATTATAAAGTACCTACCTACCTATAGTGAATTGAAAAAGAAAATATATATCTATAATGAAGGTATTATGTTTACCAATCTAATATATTAATATATTTAATTTTAACTCACCACAATTCAGTTTTCAATGGATTTGACATTTGAAATGTCTAATTGCACCATAAATCACGAGAACAGTTAATAAAATGTATTATTTAATTTGATTCCTTTAAATATGCCTCCTATGAATAGCTTGGATGGAAGAATAAGTTTTATACGATCCTATCAACTATACAGGTTTTATAAAGAATTTGCTTGTTCAATTTACCTGGAAAAGATAATAGCCAAGAAATTTAATTTTTTTTTTTGTAAGAAGGCAATGAGTTACTTTTCTATTCAAAAAGTAAGGTAATTTCATTACAAATTTATTTGAGTAACGAGTAAAATAACTTAATTCCTTTTTAGAAGTAACTTACCTTACACTGATCAGTGGTTTATTGATTTATTTATAAATAAATATTGTATCAACTTTCAAACATAAACTTACTGCTCATTGGGTAGGTAGTTCATGAATCATGGTATCAACTTCAAAATAATTATCCCACAAATGTTTCAAAAGTTCTGGAACAGTTTTTTCATATTATGGCAATTCATCGCCATTGCTGGAACTTTGAATTTCTATTTAATACAGGTGTAAATTAAAATTTTTAAAGTACATTTTTATAAACTTCTTTAGATATACCTAATCTATTTAAGAAATTCAGTAAGAATAAAATCAAATTTAGTACATTTCGGTGTTAGAAGGAATTAAAACTAATTGTATTTATTCCAATTAAAAATTAAATCTGATCAACGGTTAACAATCTATTTTTTATTCCAATCAGAAATAAATAACTTAGATAATCACTATTTGTTAAAAATTTAAATAATTTTTAACAATTAAATATTTAAGAATGTACAGCAGTTAATTATAACTTGCAGTAATCCAGGATTATAGTTTTTGTTTTGTTTTACTTATGGGATCATCTATAAACTAAAAAAAAAGTATTGAGTATATACAGGGTGTCCCGTGAGGATTTACTCATTGCGATATCTCCTGAAATAATGGAGATATCGTAATTATGTTTTTTTATTAAGACTCGCAGAGGTAAGCACTACAAATATTTTATTTTTTAATTAAATTAAATTTTTTAGTAAAAAAGTTAAAAAAATTATTTTTTTATTTTTGAAAAAATTGAAGATAGCCATTCTATAGAGTATATTTTTGTGAACATTTTGAGCTTTTAACATTTTATTTTCATTAATCTCATGATTTTTAATAATTTTTTTAGTTTATTAGTAAAACGTCAATAAACTGGTTTTTGTCCGGGCGGCGAGTCCCCCTCTACGGCTAATGAGTAAATCCTCACGGGACACCCTGTATAATCTAAAAGCTGTATAAAAAAGGAATTATTTTTCATCTGTACAACCAGGCTGAAGATATAAAAAAAAAACTTCGGGAGACAAGTGGTGTTCTTTTTCTTTATTAGCTACAAAGCTGTATATTGAAATATACTGGCAAGAGGATTCTGCTAGCAATGTTCAATTAATTTTGATAGCGTTGTGGCATTTTTACTTAGTCTCATACAATACGTCTATAAATATGTTAGTATTTGGAGCAGTTCCAAAGACGTTAAGATTTTGGAAATACCTGTGAAAGTTAAGAACATTTCCAAAAATGCGCTAATATTTGGAACAATTCCAAGCAGCAATCGAAAAAAAAAAAAATACATCACTCGGATAAAATGAACATAGAGGAGGATCAAAGGTTTACGTCGATAAAAATTCCCTGAAATACATTTTACGTGTGTACATTTAATGGGATTTATTGCATTACACTTTGATACATTTTTTTCAAATTTTATTTTAACTCTAAACAATAATTATACATAACTGGATAATCGAGTCATATATATATATTTTTTTTTTAAATTCTAGTCTATATTTTCATACAATCTTAATAACCTGATATAAAGCAATCACGCCTAATTAAATCATATGTAACATAATATTAGATATATATCGTATCTAAATATTACAATATTCATTAAATTGAAATGTATATACACGATGTTAATTGTGTAATTTATTACAATGGGATTGCAATACTAATTAAAACAATAAAAGTTGTAATGTTCACAGTTTTAAAGACTAGGTTAAATTAATAAATAATATACATCATAACAAAATAATAATAAATAAATATAAATAATAATACAATAAAATAAATAAATAAAGTAACAAAAGATATAAAAAATTTAAATGAATTAACAATAAAAATAATACTTTTTATTTATTTATTTAAATAAAATAACAATAAAAAGAACAATAAGTTGGTAGAAGATTTAAATATTAACAATTAAACCGTATGTTATGTTTAAATATATTATTCCCTGCTCGCTAATGGTCATTAAAATTTAAATATTATATTGAGATTATTATTGATTTAATTTGAGGTGATGACAAACGGTGTACACTGTCTAGATGTGAATAAAAAAAAAAAAAAAAAAACAATAGTAATAATATAAAATATAGTGGACAAAATAGTATTTAAAAGCAATTTATTATTTCACATTAAACCTAATTAGGCCTATAATAATATTATATTTAATTATCATTATTTAAATTGGTAATTACTAATTACCTACTCCTCTAGACTAGGATGTATAATATAATATTTACAAGTTTTAATAACATATTATGATGCAGGAATTTTAAAATTAAAATGTATTTACAAATTTTGTTGGCCACAATATTGTAATAGATATATATATATATATATATATTTTTTGATTGTCGACATTAAAAAAAAAATTATAAGTTAGTTGGCATAAGAAATTTGTAAATTTAAGTCGTATTTTTAACATTGATAAGACTTATTTTGAAAAAACATATTTCATTCTATCCATATTATATATCATTTACGAGGTGCAAATAAAGTGAAAAGTTAAGTCCTAAAAGTTGACAGTGATGAAAATTATGATTTTTTTTTTTTGTTGTTTTAACACATCGAAATTATCAGTCTTGTTATAAATACAATTGTATGACTTCAATAGAGAGCCAAAAAGCGGATAATTAATATCAAAACCACTATGATGTATTTCCAATTTGTTATGGTACATGTTAATAAAGAAACCACAATTATTGGATTAATATACATAATTTACCGACTAGACATGATGTTGATTCAGTCAAAATGCATTTGAAGATACTGATAAACAAATTGAAGTAAATAGCTAACAGAACTTATATATTTAATTGCAAATTGAAAAAAAATATGTTATTCATATAAAATTGTTAACCATTTATCTACATTAGAAATTTAGCTTCAATTGGTTCAGTGAAGTTAAAACTAAACGGACAATATTTACAACTGAAAAGTTCTGTAAGGTTGTCAATTTACAACATATAATATGATTTTCATTCAATTCAAGCTACAAAATATACCAATGTTCGAGAATCATATTTAACACAAAACTTCCCTCTCTTTTTCAATATCAAAGAATCGTCAATATTTCTTCTTGATTATTCAATAATTAATATAAAATGATGAAATCTATAATATAATATTATAATCAATGAATTACCTTAGTTTTTGTTATTTTTCTAAAAACTAAATTTTTAAACATTTTAGAATTGAAAAAGTAACAAGAAAATCATTTATGCATAAATGACAATAACTTTAAATAAAAAATTCAAACAGTAAAATAAAATATTATCTTACACATACTTAAGATATTGCATGCAAATAATTTTTCTTTTGTTAAAGTTTTAAATTTGAAAAATGTTATTTAAATTGATGCATGGAAATATACAGTAATTAACAACCTGTAACAGATTCACAATACTTGGCTAAAATTATTTACTGACGCGAATAAACGAAAATTATAAAATAAATATGTACAATAGAAAATACAATACGTGATTGTAGATTGAAATTATAGATTTTATGGCACCAAATATTAGAAATACTTTCATATGTCATGAACTCATTTAATAAGTACGGTCTTATGCACAAAAATGTATGTATTAGAAAAAATTGTACTAAAAAATTATAAAATGTATAAAAAATAGTATTTTATAACATTGATCTATACTATCCATTCTCAATACAATAACAAGAAATAATGAAACACCACAGTCTTATATAGTAGCGTTACACTAACCTTAGCAAATAAAACTCGGGTAAATAGTCGACAAAAACTGGGAACTGAGGAAGGTTACGGATAAAGCAGAACATTTAAATTAATTCAAAGAGAAGCATTGAGATTCATCGAAGAGATTTTTTTAACCTAATACCTTATTATGTAACTAATTTCCGTTGGTGTTTGTAGTAGATGTTAGTGGATCAGTTTCTTCTTGAATGAACATTTTTCCTGGTTTTTTCAATTTTTTTAACAGGTCATGTGTGGATTTATGTGTAGAGCGTAATGACAATGCCCACTCTTTTAAACCAATTTCATCCTATAATTTAAATTAACAATAACATAATATAAACAAACTAAGGGGGCACAAATGTTAACAATATAAAATTTTAGTAATTCTTAATAAAAATTAACTAAGACTTACACTGTTGGTAAGAACTAATTTGCCATCTTTTCCATCTTTCATACGCAATACAATGCATTGCTCATTTTTAACAATTACTAACTCGGGACTGACTTCTAATACTTGGTCTAAAGTGATAACTTCAGTTTTTACTGATCCTGAATCTGAATGCAACTCCAACCGGTTAGGGTACAGTTTAGCATACCTTGTTTGCCATGCAGATGCAAATGGTCCACCTAATTTTTTAATATATCCATGAAGAATGCAGTCGGATTCTAAAGAAATCGAATTAAGATTAATATAATTTGTTGTTTTTTTTTTTTAAAATATATATAAACATACCTTCTTCATTGTGCTCATTGAATTTTTTTTGCCTAGACTTCCTTTTTTGATCAGCTTTATCAGCCTCAGAATTTACTGTTTCAAATACTGTTTCAGCAACTTCATTTTGCCATCTTTCAGATATAGTTATAGAAAAGTTCTTATACAGTTCTTGATCAGCATCAGTTAACTATTATTTACAAAGATTCAAAATCAGTTATTATCCATAGATCTCTTCACTCATAAAAAGAAGAATAATTAAAATTTACTTTGATGCCTTTTGTGTCTTCTTCATCAAATGAACCAATATCAAACGCATCGGCAGCATTAACTTCTCCTCTAGGAGGTATTAGAGGCGGTGTATATTTTTGCATATATACTTGTTGCCAATCAAGTCCCGCAAAAAAAGGATGTTCTTTCAATTCATCTGACCTAAAAAAAAAAAAAAAATATAATTAATAAAAAAATTATATTGACAGTTAGAAATGTTGACAATTGTTTTACCCCCTTCCTCGACACCCAATTCTTTCATTTATGTCACGTTGTAAAAGTCCTTCTAAAAGATCTTTTAAACTTTTTGAAAAAGAATCTGGAAGTTCTACATTCTGCAACATAAACTGTTTTTGTTAATTTGAATTAACAAAATTAACAAATACATATTTTATTATATTATAAATAATAGTTAATAACTTAATTATTTTAGTATGTTTAATAAATGCATTAAAGTCATGCTTGAAATTATTTAAATTTAAAAATAATGAATAGTTGTAATATTATTTACTTATGGTCTTACTACTATAAACTATAAGTAAAAAATATAATAGCTTATTTTATGAAATATTAAAAAGCTAAATAATTGATAAATGTACCATTGTTAGGGTCATTCGATCAATCTCGTGTTTGTCCTTGGTTTTATGTTGTCTAAATGGACTGTGACCCTTAAGTAGTTTGTATAACATACAACCAAAAGAAAACCAATCTGCACTTGAATCATAAGCTGTTCCCTTTGATAACACTTCTGGTGCCATATAACCATGTGTACCCCTAATTATAGAACATATATTACAATTTTTATCCTCAACACATTCTATTTTATTTAACTTACACGCTAGCATGTGGTTTCTTTTTAGAAAAGTCGCACGCTAAACCTAAATCTGATATTCGTACATGTCCATACTCATCTAATAGTATGTTGGCAGGTTTTAAGTCCCTGTAGACAATAAATCGTCGGTGCATATGCTCTAAACCTAATTATGAAATAATATATGTTAATAAATAATATGTATAACATAGTTTTTAAACATAAAATACTAATTTGCTCGGTCAATTTTTTAAGAATATAATTTTGAGTATTTATATATTTCTTACTATAGAAAAAACCCAAAAACCCTGATTGAGAAAATTAGTTTTAAATTATATATATCTAATAAATTCTTATTATATTTACCTAAAATTACTTCAGCAGCATAGAACTTCATATCAAGTTCATTAAATACACCATGCTGTGCTAAATGATAATGTAAATCACCACCATGCATTAGGTCTAATATGAAACAAAGCTTATCAGGTGTATGAAATGCATACGTCATACAGACAATAAAAGGACAGTCCACCTATAAACCGAGTTAAATAATAAATGATTAAAGAATTGCAAGTTTAAATGTAATATATGCTTTATTAGATTGATATGGTCATATTTACCCCTGTACTGACTAGAGACAACATAATACGTTCATTTAAGGCCAGTGTTTCACCTTGTTTCATTTTTATTCGTTTTTTATCAAGGCATTTCATCGCATACATCTTGCCAGTATCAGCTTTTCGACAACCATAAACTTCCCCAAAACCACCTCTACCAATTATACGGTGAACGCTAAAATCGTTCATGGTCAACTACAATAAAAAATACAATTGTTTAGTGCTTCAATTATCATATGATACATAATATTATATATTATATTAAATTACTTACCGAAATATTAAGTTCTAAATTTTTCCATTGACAAAATCTAGTATATTTATCACTAATAAAAAATATTTTACAATTAGTATTATTATTTATTAATATAAATGCAACTATAATGTTAAAATAAATAAAAAATGCTCATACCTTTCTAGAAATTTTTTAAAAGGTTCTTCCCGAAGATGATTGAATATTACTTTAATATAAGGCTAAAAATAAAAAATATTATTAAGTAAAAAAGTTTTTTTTGTGTACAGTTTTTCTTACTTCAAATAAATTAACAGGCACTTCATTTTTCATCAAATATTTTTGAACATGAGCGACTGCATCTTTGGGATAATTCTAAATGATAATTAAAATCAATGTAAATTAATGAAATTATGATTATGAACCATTACATTTAAACAGAGAAACAACTTAAAAAGGAAAATAGTTTAAAAAATGTATGTGATGAATATCATTTAGAATTTGATTAAAAGAAGTAAAAATAGGTATATTTATCGAGAACTGAGAGGGAGGAAAAAATAATTGGCATTTAAATGATTCAAAAGGCTGATCAAGGATATAATTAGTACAACAAATTAATAAGGTGTTTGATTAAGATCATTGGAGAGAAGGTTAAACTCAGATGTATAAGTACAAAGATTATGTTATTATAGCTATAAAATGTTAAAATTGTTAAAACAGTCTCTTAATTTACTATAAAATTATTTTTCCTTACATGAGTATGTGATAAAAGTTCTTTCATAATATAATTATCATAAATATCTCTAGCTAATTTTCTTCTTTCGTCGACTGATTCTAATTTTTCATACCTTTTGATCTGAAAAAAAAAATGTATAACTGAACTCTTAGAATATCAAACATGTGTTTTTACTATAAATTATGAAGACAAGAAACAATATTTTAAAGGTAAGCAAATTGTATTATTTTTAATTTTTTAAAAATCAAATCAATAACATGGAATTAAAAGATCGCCAAGTTTTTTGGTAATAAACTGTTAAATAAGACACTCCCGTGATCCATAGATCACTGAGAAAAAGCCATCTATACAATTAATAAATTATATAGTTTGTTATAAATATCTTATATACTATTGATTTATAGATAAAATTGAACATTTCATTTTGAAAACAATGTGGAAATATTACTTAAATAATCATCATAATATAATAGATACTACTTAATATATTATAATACAAAAACAATTAACCTATTTTATACCTATAACATAAAAATGTACACAATAACAAAATGTTATTTATTATTTTATAAATATGTTTATTAAATACATAATTTCCACAGTATGCATTAACTATCTAATTTATAATTCCATTCTTTTATTAATTACTCTAAAATATTATCTACTATAAAAACATATATAATGCATTTCAAATTAGTATTTAATACGACCAAAACTATAACGAAAAATGTATGTATATAAAAAAAATCTCAATAGAGATGCAAGAGTCAAGTTGTTGAGAATTTATATGGATAGCCCGCCATAGGCGTGTTTACAGTGTAATGAGGTCACTTATTAAAGTTACAAGGAAAGATGATGACTGGGGCTGTTTTGTAACAGTTCCACTTGACCATAAAGCTCACCCTATTTTCATGATGAAAAAACTTTAGTCCTCAGGCCTTCTACCATTTTCCTTTATGCTGTCATATACCATCACAAATAATGGTTGCTTTTAATAGTGGCAACATTTTGTATCCAGCAAATGAAAGTATATATGCACTAAAAAACTATTTAGTCTGGCATATATATTTGGATTTTAACGTTTTTTTTTTTTGTTAATTTGGCTTAATAATTTATTCATACATTACTGACACATATAATACTCAATTATAATTTTTAACTAAATCATAATAATGATAATTTAATGTATTTACAGCGAATTAACAAGTATCAATATCATTATTATATAGACAGTTGGGATATCTTACAAAATAAAAAAAGGAAAAGATTTTAAGTTTTTTAATGTTAACCAATTCAAAAACTTATTTTAAAAGTAGATATTAAATTTTTTTACATAGGTAAGTAAGGTTTGATTGATATAAGACTAGTAAAAAAAATGACTTGAAATGTAAAGAAAGAATGCAGAGCCATTTACACATAAATAAAGCAATTCAACGTCAAAAAAATAACTATTATTACAAACAAAATGCTTTAACCATATAATTATGAGTTACAAATTTTACAATAGTAAATTATTTTGACTAATCATCTTCAGAAAAACATATCAAAGATGTAAAATGTTCTTGTATGGTTAAGAATTGTACATCAAAAATGACCTTTCAATATTAACCGATGTAATCACCACGTGATAATGACAAATGTGGGTAGTTTCTTTATTAGGTAAATAATACTGATTTGTTTTAAAGAAATCATAGACTACGCATAATTTTTCACAATATCTTATCGTAAATAGTAATTAGCTACAAAATATGTTGATTTAATACAAAAATAGAAAATAACCTCTATTCCACTTGAATAGAAATTAAATACTTTTTTAAATAACAATGATCCATACATCAGTTTTTTTTTCAGAAGATAGAATTTTTTCTAATCCGAACCATATGGCCACATTGGTATATGTTTAAAAAAATTATAAATCTTACCTCATCATAAAAGTTAATTTCAGGTATTTGCTCATCTTCAGGTAGATGTTCACAGAAATCTTTGAATAACAAGTAACCTAAAATATACAAAACAATAATATACATAAACATAATATTTAGTAATATGCATATAAGTTTCCTCTGTATTTGTCCGTACTAATATTTTTTAAACAAGATTTCTGATAAATATTAACTTTAAGCAGAATAGAGTAATGTCTTGAATAAATATTGTATACGAGTGGACAAACACTGTGAAAGTGTGAAACACACTGTAAATAATTATAAATTACCTAAAACTTGATTGAAGATTTTATCAAAATTAACTTCTTCTTTTTTTTCCAGGTATTTGTGCATTACACTTCGAACACTAAAACAAGAAAAAATTTTTATTACACAAAATATACTAATTTAAATTATTATTTATCAACGAAAATCTAGTGCCTATTTATTCTCATTTGTAGTAGAATTAAAATAGCTTTTGATATTTAATAAAAATTATTAATTGTTACAAAGATAGAAAAATAATTTCAACAAGTTATGGTTAAGTGAACGTAGGAAATACTTATTTTGAATACAGCCTGTTTGTATTCAGCAGAACCAATTTTTTGTAGTTAGCTTAATATTAAAGGGAGTTACATATTATCAAACTTGGAAGTGAGAACATTATCTGTGCATTTCCATTTCTTAAGAGTTCTGAGCATATTTTAGATGTAAGAATTTTCATACTTAGTCATAACCAGGGCTCGTAACTTCATGCACTAAAAAATGCATAAATAAGCATGCATTCATGCACTAAAAATTGTCAAAATATGCATTAAAATATGCACTTAAAAGTTCAAAAATATGCATTTATATGCATTAACATTTTTAAATTATGCACTCAAAATATGCATTATGTAAAAAAAACATGACCAAATTTTAAAATAATAAGAATAAATCCATACATTTTAAAAGTATTTTATTCATCCTAATTTTTATATATTTAACAGTCAAAATTAATAAAATAAAAAATAAAATTAATACTTGTGAAGTTCAAATAGCTTTGCCATCTTTATAAATTTTAATTAGGTAGTCAATTTTGTCTAATTTGTGTACACCCTTATTCAGCACCAGCAATGAAAACATTTGGAATGAAATATTAGGTTTTTCATTTTGGGATAATTTAGTAATATATATTTTATAAGTGTTTTTTTTATGTTTTCCAACAAGCATAAGTAGATAAAATATGGCATAAAACCATGGTTTCGTAATTCAAGTAATACGGCTTATTGAAGTGGTTTACAGTAAAAATACCTATTATAAAAATTGTAAAGTAGAACTTTTTTTACAATCGTAAGAAGCCTGATTTTCGATATTTTTATTAATTAGCTAAATAATTATTCAATAAAAAATTTAAAAAACCGTTATAATTTACCATGCGATATTGGACGATTGGAACAAGATATCAAAAACCGGAAGAAACTTTTCAAATATTTGTCTAAAAAATATTTTTATGAAATAATATGCACTAACGACTGTAAAAAATCAACTATATGCCAAATATGACTTTACACCCAAAACATGCAAAACATGCACTATCAAACTTCATATTATTATTACTATTTTTATGAAACGGATTTGTATCTCAGTTAGCATGTTTTCCTGTGTGGCAAAAAAAACATGCAGATGCATGAACTTACGAGCCCTGGTCATAACTCACTTACAAATTGAAATATTGTAAAAACCTATGTATGAAAACGAATAATTTTCAAAAAAATTTAAATTTATTTCATAACACATCATGGTGACTAAAAATAATGAAAATTACAAAAATATTATACCTAGTATTTTTTTTTAGTTTATTATTTATTTTAATAAACATTATAAAATGTAAGAATCATCTGCATTTCATAACTTTTCTATTGAAATGAAATCGGCTATGTTCTAAATTTCTATAGGACACATTTTAAACATTACACAAATATACTCGGCTCTGTGCAAAATAATAAATGAATTTGTCCATTTATTAAGTTATCTGTTTTCCTTAAAAATTATAAAATGTAAGAATCATCTGCATTTCATAACTTTGCTATTGAAATGAAATCGGCTATGTTCTAAATTTCTATAGGACACATTTTAAGCATTACACAAATATACTCTGCTCTGTGCAAAATAATTAATGAATAATGTCCATTTATTAAATTAGGTATCTGCTTACTTTAAAAATAAAAAAACCATGAAAGCAAATAATTAGGTACCTACCTAAATTTGTCATTTTAACTTAAAATGTTGTTTCATTACTTAAATATAAAATAGATATTTAAATATTGGATAGGAAAAAATTAAGTTATTATTATTGATTTTGAATGAAGATTCTAATATGTGACTGTCAGACTGATCATATTTTTAAAATTAAAACAACAAGAATTTTTTTTTATAAGTACCTAAAATAAAAACAATATTTCACAGACAATGTTTTCATCTACATTGTACATCAATTTGTAGTATTAACTATCACCAGCCTGAGTGGTTCTATCCCGAGCAAATCAGTTTTTGCTATGTTGCAAATTTATGAGATAGAGACAACATATGCGGGTGTAACGTCCTCCTCTTAATGACAATTATGTTTAATAACAAAACAATATTGTTAAGAAATACCTATCATATAATATATTCATATAAACAGCAATAAAAAAAATATAATATTTAAATAGAGCAAATGAAATTTAATGATATTAGAAATGATTTCATATGTAAGAGACAATTGCATTCCATAACTTTACTATTGAAATGAAATCGGCTAAGCTCTAAAATTCTTTAGGACAAAATTTAAACATTTGTACAAGCTCTATAATAAAAACAATAAATAAATAATGTCCATTTTAGATAATATCTTGATGCCTTATGGTAGGTACTCAGGTAGTAACTTTTATTTGAGAAGGCATAAACAGGAAAATCTATTATAAAGAAAACTTTTCAATAAGAAATAATATTATAGGTACAGGAATTTGTATCAATAATTTTACTAGGCTTAAAATTATTTGGTGGTCTATTTGCAATTTTTACTTTATAACAGCCTTGATAATAGCTTAAACCTACAAGTTTATTTAAATTAATAAAACTTGTTTAATTGAGATTTCTATCAATACTACCAATACTCTGTTCAGCAAGAGAAGCCGACCAAAATTGGTTCTTTTGTAATGTCCATGCTATACCCAGCCAGGATGACGCGGGGGATGTGCAGAATCGGTATGTTTTCTCGTTAAACAGAATATACTAACTAAATATGTAGTAAATGTAAAATACAAGGTACCTATTGGCTATTATCATTAATCAAAATAGCAGAAAATTAAGTACAAACAAATTTAATTTTTTGACCTACAAAACAATTATTTCCCTACCAATCCAATAGGTAAGCAGATAAAAATCATTCGTTAAACATATTATAACAAACTGCAATGCTTCTATTCAAATAAATTATAAACTCACTAAATACAGTTTCTTTAGTTCTTTTTGCTAAATCCTGATTGTTTTCCCCTTAATTCTCAAGTAACTATATATATTTAAAATATAATTGGAATTTTTTCCGTAATTAACAATATTGTTATTATTATAATTATTATTATTACACCTAGGTATAGGCAGATGTTATTGTTTTGAATAGGACAAAAATATGTATTTTTCTTCAATTTTGAGTGCAGTAAAAGTATTTTAAAGTTTTGTAATTGGTTTTGCCAAATTTCTCAATAGCATAGGAATTTAACCAGATGTTGCTTTCTGGTTTTAAAAAATCTAATACATAATTCAAGATGTAGTCTTATAGAACCATTAAGCCAGGTTCAGACTTAGCATACATTGTCATGAGACATATCTTATGACATTGTCATTAACATTAGATTACATTTCTGCTTATTAAAACATTTTGGTGACAATGCCAGAAACATGTGTATGTAAGCTAAGTCTAGATTCGGATACCTAAATTTAAAAAGCGGACTTACAATTTACATACAGTAAACAATTTTTACCAATCTACCAAAACACGCAGTATCTTCATAATTTTTCCACCTGAATTATGTTATACAGGTATGTAAACGTACCTAGGAGTGTGTACTTAAACATCCATAATATTCTTAACTAATTTCTATACTTGAGTATGGAGTAGTAGTGTAGTACTGAGCTAGGTATCTACTATTAATTACGTTTTCATACGGTGATCTCTCGGGCTGTTTTGCATTTACTGACTGAAATTTTATATAACGGGTGTATTATACGCCAAATACCTACATCTAAACTAAAGGTATACAGCTATGAAGTCTAATATATTCAGTAGCAAATTGAGAATGTTAGCAGGTATTCAACAGCAACGACTTAGCACTACCAGCCAGAGAAGGTATTTATCGGACAATGTGAACTGCTCGTCGGGTCAGTCTACAGCAAATTTCACCCCATCAACAATTATTGGATTCCTACGTATCAGAACATGCAACAGTGACAAGAGCGTACAGGCCAGTAATCGACATTCAACAGTATGCGCACAGGTAGAGCATATCATTACCTGGGGTCCGGCAAGACGATTTTCTTGCTGGCTCTGGCCGCCGGCGTGCACTTGCTCTTCTCCATGGCCATCAGGTAGCTGACGTCGGCCAGCACGGCTTCCAAGTCGGCCATCGTGCGCGGAGGGTAGTTCACAGGCGATTCGAACACGGACAAGACGGGCGTCCGTGCCAACGAACTCGACGGTTGACTGGCGATTTGATGGAAGTCGCAAGAATACGATACAGCGGTAATAGCCGAAAGACGTGTCGGACAACCACCACAATCGGCGGCGGCGGCGACGACAACGACAACAACCGATTTAACACCACACCAACAACCTAGGCCACGACGGTCGGCAGCCTAGACTCGGTGGAAACCATTATCACTTGTCAGTTTTCACGGCAGTCGCGTTCGCAGCAGTCGCGACGGCCGCGATCTCGTAAGACACGTAACAACAGCGGTCACCGTGGTGGCCATCGTCATCGCAGCCAAGGCGTTCGTCGGACATGACGAACACGGCTAATTGGACAACGACGATCCTGCGACGTCGTGATGTAAATTATTGTCGCCCCGTTTGGGTTCCCGTCGGGTCGAACGAAATAATCGAAAAAAAAAACAAAACCGTCCGACCGAAGAGTCCGGGCGAGTGTGGTGTGTGGTACCTCTGTGGTGGTAGTTTTTTAACTACAAACCGGCCAGGCGCCAGCGGTGGTTGGTGATGGTGGTGGTGGTGGTGGTCGGTCCGTGAAATATTATTTATACATTAGGTATTGCAATTATTATTTATTATTATCGTTTATTGTGTGTTATGGTGTCGGACGGGTATCAGTCACCTGGGCGACGACAACGGTCGTTTAACCGACGGCGGCACGTAAGTGTACGTAACGCGAAACTAGGTCGCCCGCGCGCACATCACATTATTATTATCGTCGCGATATAATTATTGTCGTACGACAGGCCGACCACACTAAAGCACACCGACGGTCGACACACACACAAACTTACTCACACACCAACACACAAACTACTCACACCAACGCGCGCGCGCCCGCACACACACACACACACACACACACACACACACACGGGCCGCAAAACGATGGTGGGGTACGTGGTGGTGAGGGGTGGAGAGCCGTTCGAAGTCGTACTACAGTACGCGAATGCGAATGCGGAACGACAAAAATCTCCGTCGGGTCCGTTGCACACTTGCACCGCCGCCGTTCGAGAGCTCGTGGCGGTGGCCGCCTACTGGTGGTGCGCTCCGGCCGATGCCCGCTAGTATCACACACGTCTCGCTGCAGTCGCCGTGGCCCCCCTCACGCCCCTAGCGATATCACGTCCACCGCGCGTAACCAATGCGTGCGTGCTCGCTGATGTCGCGCGACCGCGAGTGCGTGCGACTGACGGCCAGGTCGCATCTGACCGTACTCGCTGTTTTCTGTCACGAAGTGTCGCCAGTGGTTATTGTTGTTGTTGTTGTTGTTATTGTTGTTGTGCTGGCAATACTGTGACTGTGGCCGGGACGGCTCGTTTTAAAATTATTACTCTGTGAGCGGCACCCGTGCTCGAGTATTCAGCTGGTCGAGGGGAACGGAGCGGACACTCACTGATAACGCAGGGGGCGAGGACGGCCGTGGCGGCGACGTCGGTGGTCCGTCCCTCACTTCGAACGAGGCCCCGTGCTTGTGTGAGTGAGCACGCCAGTGCGTCCCGATGACCGAGCGCTAATGTCGTGGCGCTACGCGACGGGTTTTGAACTTTGCGCGCGCGTACAAATATATTATAATGTATTAATGTATCAACGTCTATACCTTTGTTGTCCTAACCAGTAACCACGAATTACACCCACAAGGAGTTTAATAATCACAATTTTTTCCCGGGCAATGCCGGGTTATTCAGCTAGTATCTTAATAATATTATAATTTGTGCTTCAGACGTATGCCTATGTCAAATGTGAACACTAGACCACATACATTTGATAATACAATAGTTTATTGTAGGTACATAATAATATCTGCGAACTACTAAACTAGCAAAGAACTAGCTTGATATAATATAAACAAACTATGATAGAAAAATTAGCAAGGTATTAGGAAGTCTAAGCCAGTAGTATTCAACCGGTGGGTCACTACCTAATCTTGGGTCGTGTGATATAATTTTATATCATAAAAATGGGTCGTGACAGGTATGTTTTGTTAAAAAGAAAAATAAGTATAAAATTATTAATTTATTATGAACTCGAATAAGTTATGAATGAATTGAAGAACCATATTTTACAGTAGATCTAATGACAGTTAAAATGGTTACTATGACATAGAAAATCAATAAATTGAGCTTACATGTGATCCTTAAACTTAAACAAATGTTTATTGAAACTTTTTTGGGCACACTTATATACACGTTAAATTACTCAAAACTAGTAGCTAAAGTATTTTGGACGTGAAAACATCTTATGTGCGGTTCAGACTTTTCAACTTGGGCAGTGAAATTTTTCGAACGTTACCCTTTTCGCTAAGCTACGCTAGCGCTGCTGACGTGCCGATTGGTGGAGACTCGGTGTAGCTCCATTACGATCGCAAAAAACACCGAAAATCCTTTTGCCAAAAACAGTATAATTTGGACGTCAGACCGGAAGTCAACCTTGGAGGTAGGTCGAGATCGGAATTCGTGCCGCGCAAATTTTCTATGGAGGTAATATTTTCGGACTTGTAAATTTTTTCCAAAATGTTCGAAAAACAGCGAAAATTCTTTTGCCGCTAACAGTCTCATTCGGTGTTGTTTTTAATTAAATTTGTTCGTAAATTTTAATATATAATGTAAGCGTTATAATAAAACTATATTTTTAAGCTCATATATATATATGTTTACACATCTCCTGAGGGTCGCTTGTGACACACGGTTTTTCCTTCATGTCCTACAAAGTTGACACGAGTCGTGAAATAATTGTTACAAAAACAGTGGATCGCGATTCGTGAGTAAAAAAGGGTCGAACACTACTAGTCAAAACCTTAGAAACGATGAAAAATATCTTTTATACTTTGTAAAATGAAAGCAAATGAAAGTATATACGCACTAAAAAAACTATTTAGTCTGGCATATATATTTGTTTTTTTTTTTTTTTTTTTAATTTAGCTTAATAATTTATTCATACATTACTGAAATATATTATACTTCATTATAATTTTTACCTAATTCATAATAATGATAATTTAATGTATTTACAGCGAATTAACAAGCATCAATATCATTATTAGGTATATACCTAGACTCAGTTGGGATATCTTATAAAATAAAATAAATCGCTCTGCAGTCTGCTGTACAGTAGGTTACAAGTGGGACACTGTAATGGATGGTATTTGAATTCAATGATATATTATCATTGTATATAAAAACGATTCTGAGCGAAAACGGTCAATCAGCCTATAATATTACTAAGTATATTTGATGATATTATTGTGAATAAAGCAAATTATATATTTACCTATTTACGTGGACCATTGTTTGAAATGGTTAAAAATTATTTTTCAAATGGTACTTAACCACTATATTTTTTTATGGATTCTGATAAAGCTTTTTTCTGAACATTTTGACAGTCAAATGATCAATTTTGATTCGCTATAGGTAATTAACTATGGTCCTCTAAAGTTTAGTAAAATATGCATTAATACTTTTATACTGAAATACCTAATTTACAAGAGCTAAATATTTTTTCTTATAACAACCTTTTTATATACTTAAATCAATAATCTAAAATGATCAAAAAAAAAAAAGTAACAAAATTGTTGGTAAACATAATTCATATTTTTATAGTAATTTTTCGTAAAATTGAGTACTATTATATATTTTATAATTATTAATAATAATTTACCTACTTAAAAATTTTTTTTTTTTTTGAAAACTTTTGTAAGCGTTAAAAAATATATATTTTGGGGATAAAGATGGGTCCTCAAAATCAACGGGCCCCGGGACCGTGCCCCCTTGCCCCCCATTTATCCGGGCTTGATGTAAAGGGCCCCTAGTCTTCTCAGCTTAAAATTACATTGAGTGGTAATTTGTACTTTTTATAGGGCCTACAAGAGTATATATTTTTTTTCTTGTTTGAACTAGCAGGCCTTATGGCCCGTCACCAGTGCCTCATTTAGACATTTTGCGCCCCGGCACAAAAAAAAAATTGGCGCCCCTTAACCCCCGGTGAAAAAAATTGGCTGCATACGAATTGCATGCCAAAAAAAAAAAAATGTTCAAATTGCATGCCGTCTCTTGTAGGGGTTTGTCCGAATTGCGTGCCATCTCTTGGAGGGGTCTGTCCGAATTGCATGCCATCTCTTGGAGGGGTCTGTCCGAATTGCATGCCATCTCTTAGAGGGCTTTGTCCGGATTCCATGCCGTACACCACACGTTTATTTACTATGCACTTAAACAACTTAAACTTTTTTTTGGACTTTCCTAATTTTTTTTAAAAAATGCATGTATAGAAACGCTCTTTTATGTATGGTTGTTACTACTGTTTAGTGATTAGTTTCTGGATTGAAATATTTTTATATCCGTGTAAATATTTTCCCAAACAGTATCTATATTGGAGTAATGTAGTGTATTGTGGTCTCGGTCTGTTTCACAACAGATTAATAATATTTTATTATTATGAATTATTATTATATAATATTATTTTGTTTATTTAAATTGTAATATTGTGTGCCCGAAATGTCAAAAAAACCACCAAATTTAAAAATAATATTATTTAAAATACACTCACTTGACTACCCTAAACTACAATAGTTTTATTTAACTAATGGCCTTTGTTGTCGATGAAAAAAAAATAGTTTTATATTTTTATGATTCTTATTCACAGTGTCACCTTCTACAATATTTATATGTTTTATTGTAATGTAACAAAATCCCGATCCTCCAGTTGAAAAGTAAGTTGTGTATTCGGATATACCCCTCTAAGAGATGGCATGCAATTCGGACAGACCCCTTCAAGAGACGGCATGCAATTCGGATAGACCCCTCCAAGAGACGGCATGCAATTCGGACGACCCGATTTATATTTATTTTTTTGGCATGCAATTCGGATGCACCGAAAAAATTGCTCCCCCTAATTGGCTTACCCACGGAAAATATTGGAGATAGATCCTCATTAACCTTTTAGATGTTTAGCACAGAAAAGAATATTTGTTTTACAATGTATGCTTTTTTTTTAAAATATTGTTTAGTAATTGCTTGATCGCAAAGATACATTTGAATTAGGTATGTCACTTAAACCTTGCTTATAATTCATCATATAAGTTGTTTTTTTTTAAACATATTTAAGTAGGTTATAGGTACTTCAAGAATAAATAAAATATAATTATATAAAACTATGAAAATTAATATTAATTAAAAAAATTTCAAACAGCATAATACTATTATACTAAATTATATTATATAATACTGTTATTAATATAATTTAAACTATAACATTTTAATAATTCACAAGTAAACAAATTTCTGACTACAAAATATTGGCACCCCTAAAATACTGGCGTCCGGGGCAGTTGTACCCAGCGCCCCTCCCTAAATGCGGCCCTTCCCGTCACCAACCTACCGTGGTTACCACCACGGGCATAGTAATTGGGGACACATGGCCATTTTTTCATGGCGGTGGCCAGTCTTGTAAAGTATTCGAATAAAAGTATTTGAATACTCTTTTTGTATTCGAATACTATTTTAAATACTTTTTTTTTAAAGTATTCGAATACGTTTTCTGAATACTTTTATTTGTATTTTTTATTCATTAAAAAAATACTTTTTCCGATCCAGTAAAATAGTTTTAAATTTGTGACAAGACATCTTATAAATCATGAATATTAATTGTATTCTTTGAATGAAATATAATTTTGGCCCATGATATGATTATTTTTATAAATACCAATGTGTTTTATCACGTATAGTTTGTATCGGCCGTATCATATGTGGTCAAAATTTATAAATAGCTTATGATTACAAAGTAATTTTAATTATTGATTAATAAATGTTAATTAGTAATTAGTAATTACCAACCATTAAAAACCGACAACAATTATTTGTGAAAAAAAGTATTCTTATAGTATTCGAATACTTTTTAAAGTATTCGAATATGTATTCTGAATATATTTTATAAAAACTATTCGAATACGTATTCTGAATACCTTAATTCTCATTTATTCGAATATGTATTCCGAATACAAAATAAAAGTATTCTTTACAAGACTGGCGGTGGCCCACAACCATGTATTGGCCCCTGAGCCCTGAAGGGTTAATCCGGGCTTGCTTTTTAACATTATGTTTTATTACAATACTTGGCTAAACAAAAAGGGAATTTAATTTATGAAAATATGTTCGTCCCCCTTGTGTGAATTCTGGATCAGTTACTACAATTGTCACGTTTATGTATATTCAACTATTAACTATTAAAGATTTCCGAAATCCGGATATAAGTCGGGACAATTACGGCAGCGCAATCTGCAACTGCTTTCGATTTCAGTGGTACAACAGAAAGAACAGACCCGGGTCATTTATATCGCCAGATGGCGTCGCCATAAACGAATACGAATAGAATATACGAATGAAGCGATAAGAATTCTGAAAACAGATTTTAATTTGTCGTCAAGTCTACTTGAAATTGACTTCCCCACATTTTTGATATCATCCCCCAAATTCCTAAAAATGTCATATTAAAAAAGAGTATTTAAAAATTGTTCTATTTCAATTTTCGAAGAAGTTAAAATAAAAAAATGGGTCACTGTAATAGTGTAATGGATGGTGTTAAATTTGAATTCAATGATATAATATCATATTGTATAAGAAAAACGATTCTGAGCGAAAACGGTCTGTCAGCCTACGATATTATAAAGTATATTTGATGATATTATTGCGAATAAAGTAATTTATATATAGCCTATTTACGTGGAACCTAGTTTTAGATTTTCAATCCTTGGCTATAAAAGTTGAACATTTTATAAATTTTTAGCCACAAAATAATTATTACATTTAAAATTTGATAAATTTTGTCAAAATTCGAACTTTAAATGATTATAAAAAAAAATTGTGTTAATGTATTTGTAATATTTTTCCACTGCTATTGTAACAATATATCAGGAGCCTTGCATTAAATTTTCACGATTTTTTAACTAACACATAACCTAATTTTATTGATATTTATAAAAAAAAAACTAAAAAAATTTAAGACTGACAATGTCCGTAAACAGCTCAAAAAGAGTCAAATTATTTTCGAAATTGTATGGTGTATAGAAAATACTAATATAAACATTCAGTGAAATTTTCAAGTATGTACAGTCATTCGTTTTTGAATAACAATAAAATAACAAAATCGCTTTATGAGAAATTGAGTAAATATCCAATATCGAAAAAATATGAAATTCAAACACCAAGAAAAATTTAATTTGACTTTCTTACAGACATTTTTTTTTTTTTGATAAAGGTAGATTATCTTATAAAAAATTTTGTATTACATTTTAAAATCTTAGATTTAAAAGAACATTTTTTATGAATTTCTAACTCAAAATAATTTCCAAATTTTCGTCATTTTTAAGTATCTTGTCTATATTTGAACCTAACCTAACCTAAATAGATCAAAATAAGTCAAAATATTTGGAAATTCTTTTTTTTTTTTATTAAGGTGGATAACCTTATAAGGAATCTTGTATTCAATTTTAAAATCTTAGATTTAAAAAGAAAAATGTTTACGAATTCTCAACTCAAAATAATTTGATAATTTTCGTGATATTTCCATATTTTGTCAATTTTTGAACTTTAAATGCTTATAAAAGTAAACTGTGACTAAGGATTTTTAATATTTTTCATCTGCCTTTGAAACAATATGGTATGATAGTTCTATTAAATTCTCAAGCTTTTGTACCCAACAAATAAAATTTTATTGATATTTATAAAAAAAAAACTAAAAAAAAATGGAAACTGAAAATGTCCGTAAAGAACTCAAAATATTTGGAAAATCTTATGGTGTTTAGAATAAGCTAATATAATACATTCAGTCAAAATGTCATGTACCAACGGTCATTTGTTTAAGAGTTGCACCTAAAACCAAAATTGATTTTTTCGAAAACAGATTTAGCGTAAAAATTGCCGTTTTTCCTTAATTTTTCTTTGGTTTTTCAGGGCGCTTTTGAAAACTACTGAGCATTTTTTACTTTTGACCTCCCAAAGTACCAACTAGATTCACTTTCAAAATATGTTCACATTCGAATGTTCGATTTATTCTTCGACCAACTAAGCTGTTAAACTTTTCACTAACTCGGTCACACTGTTTCTGAAAATGGAAATTGTTTATCAAAATTTATATCAACATAAACATCGTCATATTACAAAGTGACACGATAATAATCATTGTGAATTGTGATTCAGTGATTGTGACAGCCGCCAGCCGCGAACTGTTCTGTTGTACAACTTAATTTTAAATTTACGAGTTTCGTCTAGCCGTAAAATGAATTATTAAAATTGGTAACGAGTGGTTGTCGGTTGACTTTTTTAAATAACATTTTTAATTTACACGAGAAATCGTATTCAATTTTGGTTTTGTAGAAAATAATCAATAGTAAAGGTGTAAAAATGGATATGGAGGAGGAGATAATTTATGCAGACGAAGAAGAAATTTCATATATTGAATCTATTACAGGTGAGCGTAAGACTTTAAATAAAATGTCAAGGTTATTGAAATAAATAATAAATTATTCAATATTATAAATACAATTTATGACTATGGACTTGTTTTTCAACATAGGCTATCTATGGAGTTTTTTAGAATTTATTCAAAATAATGGATGGTACTTCCTGGCTTTTGTAATATTGTTGGCATATTTAGTCCCCAAATTATGGCCACATTATTTAAAATGGTCAGAACAAAGAGCAGTAGCTGCATATGATGCAGACATTAAAAAAAGTATGTATAGTTTTATCATAGTAGTTTTCATTGATAGAAACAAATAAAAATACCCATGTTCAATCTAGATCCAGATTTATTTAAACAAAAACAAGAGGAATTACAAAGAGCTCGAGTAAAATTCCAAGAAGAATATGAGAAAAAGGCTAAAATAGCACTTGAAAAACAAAAAGAAGTAAAATTAATTAGTGATTAGGCATAGTAAACTTTAGTTCTAATTTAAATCAATATGTAATTATATGTTAGAAAGAGAAGAAATTATTAGAAGAAAAACGAGCACAATTAAATAATGGAATGGCAGCAGGACAGTCTATGAACAGCTCTGAGAAGTCAAAAAATTCAAAACCCGGTAATATTTATTTTTAAATTTAAGTGTTTTAAATAATTAACAGATATTTTCACCGGCATAAAGACATTTTTTTTCTTCAAATTTCTATAATCTGTTCAGCTAGAGAACTCAACGCGAGTCGATGATCAAAATTGGGTTTTTTGGGCATCCCCACGTTACACCCTCCTATAGGAAATTCTGTTTTGATAGCAAGGTGACACAGGAGGTATACCCTTTCTATCGCTGGACAGATTATGGTATCAATTATATATTTTGATAAATGTATTTCATTACTCTACAACTTTTTGTATTCTCAACTAACCTGTTCCAATATTTAATGTATACCTCTAAGTATATGTATTATGTAGATCTGATAATTAAAACTACTGGTAGGCTCATTTAATAACTAATTTATTTTAATTTCCATAGTAAATAAATATACCTACATAGATACAGATTTATTAACTGTATATACAACTATTGTTGATGTACATAATATAATTTGGCATTGGTTCAATACCTATATTTTTTTATTAATTTATAAACATTTTGTGTTCTTTAGATTACAAACCTTTAATGGGATCTGGCAGTGGTTCAAATTATAGACCTCCAAGAAGAAGTGCATGTTCTGGAGGTGGGTGTGGATAAAAGTGAAAAATAAATATTCTATTCCAATCATTAATATCTATGTACAATTTTATAATATTACTAATAAATAGTTTATATCTTCAGCTCATATTATGCTTATTGTAAACAAAATTTACAATAATTGTATCTACACTAGAGTAAATATTGAAAAGTTCTAGGTAATATTGTTAATATTATCACAATTTTTTAGTCATCACTCATTATATGTCGAAATACTAATCCGAGAATATAATATTATTATTTATGCAACCAAGAATTTTAACATATGTTTAAACAAACTTAAATTATATTATTAAATATTTACTATTAATCTTAGAATAAGATATGACAATGAAATAAAAATAATGTATAAACAACTTTTTAACTTATAATATATGTATCAGTTAGAAATTCATTATCGTTATGAAGTATGATCCTACAAATAACATAATAGTGTTACCATTTTGATCAAGCATCAGGAATTTTGTATCAGACCATGTTGAGATAATTATGGAATCTGTTGACAAAGGGATTTTGTGAGGACATTAATGACATGTTATTGATAGGCAGATAGGTTGTCAATGGTCAATCTTAGTACTAACTTACTTAAGAGATAGTATTTAGCTGAACATTTACCATAATATTAATTATTAACAAGTGCTCGCATTTTGATGCACCTAGCATTTTTTTTACTAGCTAGCTTTATTATAACTTGTATTCTAGTTACAATTCTTATAATTTTGATTGAGAAAAAGGATTTCGTATTTTTTGATTTTAAGGTTATTTTCTAAATCACAATATTATTTTTTTTATATTAACAAAGTTCTTATATAAGGATATAGCAAGTAATAGAATATTATCAGTGGTGGTCAAATGATTTTGTCGTGGGAGGGGGGAGTTAGATCTTTTTTTTTTTTATTAATGAGATTTTAACATATAATTATAATATAAAAGATCTTAGTTAGTTTAGATCTTATATATTGAAAATAGAGCATGGGGATAGCTAACCTAACCCTTTTTTTTTTTCCAGTTTTGAACCGACGGCGTCGCGGGAACTGCTTCCGCAATGCTTCCGCGACGCCGACAACCTAACCTAACCTAACCCTCCCTGTTTGACTGTCACTGAATATTATAATAATTTCATTAATCGGACAATAGTAATTTGTTGAATGAATACTATGTTAAAATCAAGATATCTAGTGGTAACATAATATATTTAGATTTTAGAATTATCAACATTTCCTATTTATATTTTAGATTCTGAGTGAAACGGTGAATGTATTGATTTTACAATGATGTGTGTTTTCTTTTTTTTTTTTGTGTCTGTGTACACGATAAGTAGTCGAAATAATGCTTCGATTTACAACTTCAGTATTTTGTTCAATTGGATAGTGAATACCTTTGGTGCATAAAAGAGGTTAAAATTAAAAATTCCCAGTAAATTTCAAAAGCGCTAAGAAAAACAAAAGAAAAATTAAGGAAAAACGGGAATTTTAACGCAAAATCGATTTTTCACAAAATTGAATTTGGTTTTTGGTGTAACATTAAAACAAATGACTTGTAGATACATGAAATTTTCACTGGTTGTTTATATTTGCATTTTCTATACACAATAACATTTTCAAAATATTTTGATTTATTTTGAACTGTTTAGGGACAGTTTCATTTTCCATTTTTTTGTTGGTTTTTCTTCTAAATATATCAATAAAATTTTATTTGTTGGTTAAAAAATCTTGAAAATTTAATAGCAGGCTCATACCATATTGTTTCAAAGGCAGATGAAAAATATTAAAAATCCTTAGTCACAGTTTACTTTTATAAGCATTTAAAGTTCAAAAATTGACAAAATATGGAAAAATCACGAAAATTATCAAATTATTTTGAGTTGAGAATTTGTAAACATTTTTCTTTTTAAATCTAAGATTTTAAAATTGAATACAAGATTCCTTATAAGGTTGTCCACCTTAATAAAAAAAAAAATCTATAAAAAAGTCTAATTAAATTTTTGATAAATGAGCGTTTGAAATTCAAATTTTTACAAACATTGGATATTCACTCGATTTCTCATGTAGCGATTTCCTTATTTTGTTGAAATTCAAAAACGAATAACTGTAGATACATGAAAATTTGACTGGATGTTTATATTAGCATTTCCTATAAACCATACAATTTACCAATTCACCAAAATATTTTGACTCTTTTTGAGCTGTTTACGGACATTTACTGTTTACAATCTTTTTTTTTTTTTTTTTCTACAAATTATCAATAAAGTTTTAACTGTTTTGCCAAAACGTGTAAAAATTTAATACAAGGCGCCTGATATATTGTTAAAATATCAGTTGAAAAATATTAAAAATACATAGGCACAATTTTTTTTATAAGGATTTAAAGATCGAATTTTGACAAAATGTATGAAATTTAAAATTGAATAATTATTTTGTAGTAAAAAATTTATAAAATGTTCAACTTTTATATCTAAGGATTGAAAATTTAAAACAAGATTCCACGTAAGTAGTTAATTCTGTTACCAGAAAATCTAAAAAAATACATAGACACAGTTTATTTTTATAGTCATTTTAAGTTCAAATTTAGACAAAATTACAAAATTAAAAACCTAGAATAACTATTTTAGTTATTTAGTTGTGATTGTATAATATTATTCGAGGGTACTTGAAACTTCTAATGTATAGTATTATTTATCTATGATAGTATCACGGTTTGTTGTTGATGTATAACGCGGTATAAGTACCTAATGGATATTGTGATATGATTAATTTGGAATTTATTATAGGTACCTATTATTATAGGTCAATGTTTTTTAATAGGTACAATAGATAAGTATATAATTTGTTTTATACCTAGACTGACATTCAGTCTCCGCTCAGAATCGTTTTTCTTATACAATGATTTTATATCATTGAATTCAAATTTAATACCATCCATTATACAGTGACCCACTTGTAACCTACTGTACAGCAGAGCTTCTTTTTTATGTTATAATCTGATATTTTGTTATTGATATAGTTTCCCCCCTAGTATTTGGACTAGTGCTATTTCTGATACAAGTTTACTACAAACGCTTGTGAAAGTACAAATAATATTTGGACCTACACATTATTTTATTAATTTTTATTATATATTTAGACCAACTATGTTTAAGTTTACAGTCCTAAGACTATTAAAATTTTTGTGAGGGAACTTACGTACGAGTGTATTTTTGTTATTGTGGGAACTTAAGTACGGGTGTATTTTTTTTTCCCGTGAGGGAACTTCCATATGTACACGCTCACCAGCTATGTTTCGTGTGGGAACTTACTAAACCCCATCATAAGTCTTAATCTTGTCTGGCCTTCTATGGGTAAGTAATAACTAATAAGTATATATTTCTTAATCAAATTATTTTGTGTGTCCAATATTTAAGTGTTGTGATATTGTGAACAATCTATGTGAAACACTTTCTAATTAAATAAATATAAAAATTACTAATTAGAAACTTAGGCATTTTTATTTAACATTTATTTAAATATTATTTAAATAATTTAAAACAAAATGTATATAGTTTTATAACATAAAATAAATTAAGATACTTAGAATTTGTACTTACATCTTAAATTATTTTCTTAAATATTTCATAATTGTTACACAAGTAGTTATTCTGAAAAAAAAATGATCTTATTAATGTTTGAATTTTTTTAGTTATATTTAAACACTAACATAGCTAAACTGAGGCAAATGATGTGTTTGTTTTTTTTTTTCCTTTGGTATGTTGAATAATTTTCCACATTGTAGTTTGTCTTTAGTTTATAAATAATAATACGAGTATGCCTATTAAAAGTTAAAAAATAATATTAAATAGGTAATAATCATTAATACAATGAATAATTTAAAATAAATTATAACTACAAAAGTACGGGTAAAATTAAAATAAAAAATTAATAGTTTTATCAATTATTGATGTTTAGTCAAATTGAAAAATATACAGACAAATTATGAATTTTAGTCTAACCAATATTATTGAAAAAAAAATATTTCACCTTTTGAATGTATAGCTGGACCTCAAAAATTATAATTTAAAACAAAATATCACGTAAGAGGACGTTACACCCGCATGTGTTGTCTCCGTCTTACAAATGTAAGACCGAGAAGGCTAGAATCATAACTAAGAAATGAGATTTTCACCACATAAAAAGGAAGATTTTGGCTGTGCAATGTTTTTTTTTATTTTTTTTGGTATAATTTATATGAAGAAAGTTTGAAAAACACAAACAATAATGGTTTACATGGTTGTATATTTGTAAGACGGTGACAACGTATGCAGGTATAGGTGAATTATCTCAATTTAAATTTACAACTTTTTTTTTAAAAATAAATTACTGTTTTCACTGTTATTTTGTTAACAATTAATTTTTGAAAACTTAATTCTATGTTATCGCTCATCATCACATTAGTAAGAAGACCAGTAAAAATTGCATAAAGAATAATTAAACAAAGTAGTTAGAGGTTGGAGGTTTCAACATTTTTTTTTGTCTACTGCTTTGCTTGCGTAATATTGCCTAACAAGTTACAGAATTGTGGCTTTAGATTAATGTCGTAGGTACAACCAAATTTGTATATTAAAAATGATAAGTCAAATAATTTAGGAAAACGTACACGAAAGGGAAGGCAACCAATGCAGTATACTTTGAAAGTAATTTTATATCAAAATTACCAAATTCTTGAAGATCTTGTTTAAGCTGAAACCAAAAATAGAAACAATCATAATGAAATTAAATAATATAATATACAAACATATAATATCATTATTGATGCATCTTTATTATATTATTTACTATTTTTAAATCCAATGCCTTATAAAGAATTCCTTTATTCTGAATAATTAAATAATTTGTGGGATTATGATGATCATCTGCCTCCAAATCCTTTAATAAAACAGATTTATTGAGTTGGTATATAATATACCATTTTTAGTGTAACATTATACCTCATACCATTAATGAATACTCACCAAAATATTTGAAATTGATCGACTGGTGAACAATTTGTTCTTAGAAATTTCTATTGATTTTAAAAGTTCTGTTATGGTATATCTCGTATTTTCACTATAAACATTCATTAAAAGTTAATTACTTTAAATGTACTTATTAAATTAGTTATATTTTATTAAAATATTCAGTATCATTCATAACCGTGCGCACAGAAGGGGTCCACCCAGCGAGACGTACCAAAATTTGTATACATAGAAATTCATGATCTAAAAATCACAATTTTTAATTTTTTAAATCATAAAATATTAAATAGGTAGGAGAAAAATAATATTGATAGGTACTCAATGATAATAAATAATAATAAATTAAATGTCTTTAAAAATAAAATTGATAACATATTACCATTACAGATTGCAAAAATGTATTTATTTAAAATTTAAAACTATGTTGACAATTAAAATATTTCTTTGAGTTCAGGTTTCTTAATCTTTATTGACTTAGGCCACCCTGCCAAAAATGGTGTCATGATATTATTGAATAATAACTATTTACAAAAAAAAACTAGTCATATTGGTTATAAACACCATTGGAATCATGTTAAATGTACCCTGTTGGTACTATTTTTATATCTATCTAAAAAACAAAGATAGAATTTTAAGCTATTTTTTTGTGATTAATTACTGAAATATGATAAAATAATATAATTAAAATTAGTAAATATAATAATATAATACTATATAGAAATATAGTTAGGTATATATGTTACCGGCATAGACGTAAATTAAGGAATTAACATTAAGAGGACGCTACACCCGCATGTGTTGTCTCCGTCTTACACACGTACGACATAGACAAAAAGCGTTTAGGCAGTCTGAGTATAACTCGCTCAATTTTGGTTCTAGAGTAAAAATATCTATTATGAAATTGAATTGTGATAATATTTCTAAGGGCAAGACGCTGCGGTTTTTTTAAAAAATTTAATTTTTTAAAAGTCAAAGGTATTTTAAAAAATGGTGAAATTTTTTCTATTTCTAAACGATATAATGAACGTTATATTGGGTATAATGGAAAAACCGCAGCGTCTTGCCCTTAGAAATATTATCACAATTCAATTTCATAATAGGCATTTTTACTCTAGAACCAAAATTGAGCGAGTTATACTCAGACTGCCTAAACGCGTTTTGTCTATGTCGTACGTGTGTAAGACGGAGACAACACATGCGGGTGTAGCGTCCTCTTAATGACTATTCATTACTCATTAGTCAATAACAATATTTCCGATAAAATTGAACAGTTTACGATATTGACTAGGAAATAACGCTTACGTCCATTATTCTCAGGGAATGATGCATTTAGAAATATTTCCTAGGTATAGACGACAACTCCGGGCTATTTCAGACATATTTGATAAAAATGTTCAATTCAATTTCAAATCAAAAATCAAAAATATATCGTAAACTGGTAGTTATGTGAACTCCAATTGTAGGTAAGTACTTATTTAAAGTTGTAAATAGTTAAGTATGTTAAAGTTTAAAAAATGTATTTGTAAATTTTAATTAGAAACGGCCTTCCGTTATATATATTTATCTATAATCCTTACTAACAATAACATACTTTCTGACTCTAATATATCGATTGTCGTACATTAGGTACATTTTAAGTAAAATATAGCCATTTATCGGATACATAAGTCATCTATATAGTAGGCATTAGGCATACAATATAAATCACAATAATTTATTTGTTATAATATCTAATTAATACATATATTAATTAAATTATAATATTTGTACACACTACATGCCTACTAGTCACTAGCACATTGCATAACATATATCTAGTATCTACCTGTAGTAGCTACCTTCAAAGTGTCACAGTACATAAAATGGTGAAAATAAATGATTCAATTTATTTATTTTATTTATGTAATTTTAAGTATAATGTATCTTATATGTATTATTAAATTTCTGACCAAATTTAAACATTTCGGTAAACAAAATTATCAACATTGTCTATCACTATTTGACATCAAGGTAATTTCCTTTGTAAATGTGTTGACAAAATATTTAAATTTTACAACCTAGCCTATGTTGTCAGCTAATGCCTAGGCATTGACAATATCGACTACTAATGTTAGGAATTTATAATATTGGCTAGACCTAATAACCCAATGACCTAATATTTACATCATTGACGGTAACATATATGTAAATATTATAAATTAATTTAACTTAACATTTTAAATATAATATATTAAGTGTAACTAAAATATTTTATTTTCATATGATAAATTAACTTACGATTTACTAGAGAAGTTTTTAATAATATGAATCATTCTAACAAAACAATAACCAGTGTAATAGGCATCCCACCCAGCATGGTGTAATTTCATATCTTGAGCTAGAATATAAAAAAAAACTTTTCAATAGAATACAATGAAATTTTATTTTATTTATTATTATTATTATTATTTATTTTAAGCAAATCTACAATCTATACAGTTTTGCATAATAAGTAGGTTTGATAAAAGACAGAATAATTAATAAAAATAAAAATAAATGATTGTTTATTATTTAAATATTAAAATAAAATTTAGTAAAACAAGTTTCATCGTAGATTATTACACAAATATTATTTCTAAAATAATAATAGGCATCATTAAAAGTTATTATTTTTACTTTAGTAGTTTAATATAAAATAAATATTAATGGTTCTTTTATATTCATAGGTTTTTACCAAAAACAAGACAAAGCAGTACATTTTATTTTAATGCTGTAAAAAAAATAAAATAAAAATATATTTAACTAAATATGAATAATAAATATTATGAAATATGTTATATTCTTACGTTCTTCAATACTAGTCAATTGAATATGTATAGTATCTGAATATTTTTTGCCATCTCCATCTTTTAAATATGAATATATCTGCGGGAGAGAACTTCCAATCCATTTATCTGAAAAAAAAAAATGTCCATTTAATTAATAAAAATCATATGCCAATAAAACTTTATAATTTAATAAACCTTACAAACCATTTTTAGATACTAGACGTTTAACTTCCTTACATAATAGTTTAGTATCATAAATTGGTCCAAAGTTGTTGGATACAAAATTTTGGAAATCTTTGAAGTTTACTGAAATATGAAATGTATACATTATGTATGAATATATTTGAATTAATTTATCATGCTTCATAACTTTAAAAAAAATTGTGCAATAGGATTTAATTAAATGAAATTGGAAAACTTGATTTGGTACAATAAACAATTTTATATGAAACAGACCATAGAATACATAGGAAGAACTTATAAAAACTGAAGGTAGCTGTGATGGATAGGGATAAATTCATCAGCTTTTAGAACATTCTATTGATTTAAAAAACAACAAATTCTGGATATATAATATTACAGTTTAGGTAATTATCTAAAGGTGAAATATGGAAATATTTAAACTAATTTAGTATTTTAGCCTGATAAATAAGTAAATTTGTTTAACTATGTATATACACTGACCAGGTAAGGGTGTGAAAAATTGGTTGGATAAAATTAAAATATCTAAAGCACAGTTATGCCCAATTATCGGTTTTTTCAACTTTGAAATTAGTTTCATTAAATATTTGATACCCATCATTTTATTTAATAAACTTAATTTTAGATTTTCATGAATTGTTTTGTTCAATATTTCTGAATTTGTATTAGCTTCTATTTTTGTAATATTCAATCCTAATTGACTCTAAAAATATATATACATATGTATATAAATATAAATATTTTACAAATTATTATAGTTAATGGTTATTTTATTTATAATATTACTTCATCTATGAGTATATATTTTAACTTTTTCAGAAGATAATATTGCATTAATATAGTATATGCAGGTTCATTGCATCCATTTATTTCTAAAAACGTCTGCTCTCCATAATTGGCAGTATCATACCATTCAGAAACAATTTTTAAAACTTTCATTAATTCTTCTTCGATAGAACGAAATTTTATATTATTTTCAAAATATTTGTCAAAAAATAATTCATCCAACATTTCTGCCTTTATTTTTAATTCTTCTTCGTCGGTTAAATATGGGACCCTGCTATGAAACAACTAAACAAAAATATAATTAAATAATTGCAAAATATTGATTAAAATTATTAAAATAAGATTTACCTTGTTAAAATCAAAACTATGTTTACATAAAAATTCAACACATGATGTTTGAAAATTGACCACACTATCAGATTTATAAAATGTCTGCGGGTATGTATAAAATGAGTAAGTACTCGTTTTAAATGTTTTAATTTTGTCATCATAAACATAAATCGCAATACCAAACTGAATACAAGTTATATCAGATACTATTTGGTGCAATTTGTTGTATCGTTCTTCAGGTGTATCGAATAAACTGTAAATGCATTTATGATGTTAGTAAATTACAATAATTAATTAGATGATCTTGTAAAAAAATTTCTATGGATAACTGCATTTCTAAAAGATAAACCAAAACATAAATATAAGTAATAAAAAAATATGTTAAATAATGTAGATATTTTACTTCCGAATTTAGCAATGAGAAATAATAGTCTTTCTAATACCTAATATTTTTTTATCATCAAGCAGCACACTGAATAAGTTACAGGTTTGGTCAAAGGGTAAATTAAAAATACAAAAATAATTTTTCTTTAAGAAGGTGCATATTTTTACTATTCAGTAATATATCATGAGAAAATACTGGCAACTATTATTGAATTTTTTCAAACCTTTCTGTATTTAGTTAAAACTGAGCTTACTTAGCTCTTATGGTTTGTGTTGGGTTTCAAAGTTTTTATTATAAACATCAATCTTTAGTACTGAGGGAAGTTCACTATATCTATCCAAATAACCTATTCAGGCTTTTTAAACTTGACATTGAGCAAGCATCTAAAGAATATATTTTTGATAATTTTACTTAAATTTGGCTATGTTCATGACATTCTTTATCATGGCTATGTTATTCCTGTTTATTTTTATTTTTATTGTGTATCTATGTAAAAAACTTACGTAAATGGCTTTGATGTATTGTCAAATAATTTGGAGAACTCCATATCTAAGCTTATAAAAGCACATTCTTTAATTGCGTCTTCGATAACCGGTAATTCGGAATAAAAATTTTCACAAGTAATCTCACCCATTTTTTAAATGTCAAATAAAATGGAAAAAAATTTGATTTTTAATCAATGTGAGGAAAACCTATAAACTATAGATCTATGGGAAAAACCTATAATATAGATAGGTATTAAATATCTATTACCTAACTAATTGAAATTCAACTGTGAACATTTTATATTTGCTGCAGTCCTGCACAGCGTACGGATATTTGGTATAATAACTAATAAGGTACCTAGTACCTACTATAATTATAGTCGGGAGAATCCGAGAATGAAAAATGAAAATACTAAAATAGTTTATACTGTTTATAAGTCTATTATGATAGCGATAAGAGACAACACTGCTATTTGCCGCGCAAGTGACAAAACGAGATTGTGGTGACTGTTATCAAAATTTCTTATACCGCGTTAGCGGTTCGTAAAAGTATTGTCAGAAATACTGAATTATAAACTCGAAAAATATTTTGAGGTTGGTCGAGTGATAACATATTCTTTTCTTTCTAAATAATTGTGGTACCTACAACCTACTACTCAGTTTCGGCGTTCCACTTGTTATTTTAGAACATTTTTCATCCACAAACATCGAAGTAAGTATTTATTTAATTAACTAATTTACTTTTTATTCAGTTGTATTATACAGTTCTTAACGCCATTCCTGTTCGATATATTTGACTTTTGACAGAAATCAAAATTTATATTTTTTGTAATCTGTACATATTGTGTTGTTGTATTATACATTTATTCTCAAGTAAGTAAATAATACTTTTTTAACAGAATGTTGATGCCGAAAAAGAATCGTAGGGCTATCTACGAATACTTGTTCAAAGAAGGTGTTATGGTCGCTGAAAAGGATTTCCATAAACCTGTACATCCCGATATTGAAGGCATTCCAAATTTGCAAGTTATCAAAGCTATGCAGGTATTTAAGACAGTTATCCTAAATTTACTCAGGGCAAATTAATGTTGTTTTCCAATTTATTTAGAGTCTCAAATCTAGAGATTATGTCAAAGAACAATTTGCGTGGCGTCACTATTATTGGTACTTGACGAACGAAGGAATTCAATACCTTAGGGATTATCTTCATTTGCCAACTGAGGTAAATATAGGGTTTTATAAACTTATTTTATTATTAAATATATTCATAGTTTAAAATATTTGTATTGGTACGATTAGTAGTACATAACCTACATTAAGTACTGAAAATAATAAAGGCTCGGATTTAAGTGCCCTTAAAATATTTAAAAACAATACATTGAACATGTAAAATTGTGTAGGTTTATAAATATAAAAAATTAAAATTAAATTTGACAAATTACATTTGTATTACACAGTCGTACTCTGAATAAAGTTGTATGCAATTAAGTCGGCTAATTGATTGATGTGATATAAAGATTCATTTCAGCCTTGTCTAATTTAAAACCAGATAATATGTAGTTAAAATGACAATGATTTATACTACTTGCTACTATATATATATTTGAATTAAGGCAATTCTTTTGTCATAATACTAGAAATAGTCAAAAAAAATTTTAAAAATGTCCCAAAAAATATATAATATTATAATCAAATACATTTTGTGGATTTTGATGAAGTACCTAATTGAAACTCATTTGTAGCTTGCGAAGCATCGAGGAAGACATTCCAAAAAAAAAAAGTCTGCTTTGAAATCTGAGTCATAATAGTAATTTGTAACTTCGTACTCTAAAAAAGGCATTGATATGTATGCAACTAAATTCATAAAAATCTTCAAATGTGCGTTAGGTATAAACTTTTAAATATGTAAAAACCAATCGCATCATAATTTTTTTGGTTTCAAATTAGTACGATTAAATACATTTTTGTGTTTATTATTATTTTTATTAGACTTTGGAAACTTACTTTTAATTATTTATCCATCTACTTATCGGTTTTATTTCTATGTGTTGATAGTATTAAACTTTTCAACAAATTTGGCTTCTAATTAATCGAAAAAATAACTTTAAAAAAAACTGCTCTTTGTACTTTGAATGCATGATATGTTATTATGCAGAAAAATTCAATCTTGTATAACAAATTTAAATTATAAAACCCTGTTCCCTTGAAGCAATTTTCTGTTTTCAAGTATTTAATAGGTCTTAGCAAGATTCATATTCAAATGTATGAACCTACAGCTCTGATCAATAACTTTTTATTTTTTATATACGAGGTGTGACAAAAAAAAAATGAGATTTTTCTAATGAAATAATTTATTTTTAAATTTTTATAATTTAATGATTATCATCTTCAAAGTAACTACCTTCAGCATTTATACACTGCTGCATACGTCGCTGCCATTCTTGAAAACAATGTTCCCAATCGTTTTCAGTCAGCCTTTTAGAAGTTCTGCCGTTTTCATTTTTACATCATCAACCGTTTGAAAATGGGTTCCTTTTAATGAACTTTTAATATTTGGGAATAGGAAAAAGTCACAAGGAGCCATGTCTGGCGAGTATGGTGGATGTTTCAATATAGAATTTTTTTTTTTCAGTCAAAAAACACTGAATTGAAAATGCGCTGTGAGCTGGAGCATTGTCTTGGTGAAGAACCCAGCCATTCTTCCACAGATCTGATCGTTTTTTTTTCTAACTCGTTCTCTCAATTTAATTATTACCTTCTTATAATAATATTGGTTGACTGCCTGTCTACTAGGAACCCATTCAATAAAAATTATTCCCTTTATATCCAAAAAAATAAAGCATTGCTTTGAATTTTGACTTGCTCATTCATGCTTTCTAAATTCTTGGGGAAGTTGGTGTCTTCCAATGCATGGATTGCCTTTTAGTTTCAGGATCATATGTAAAAATCCATGTATCGTCACACGTTATAATACTATTTAAAAAAAATGGATCGTTTTTGATAATTTTTAAAGTGTGAACAAATTTCTGTACGATTGAATTTTTGATCAACTGTCAAATTTTTAGGGACCATTTTGGCTCACCCTTCATGTTCAGTTTTTCAATTAAAATTCTACAAACACTTTCTCTATCGATATTTACCATCTCTGCTACAGCTCTAACACTTAATCGACGATCTTGCCGAATAATTTTGTCGATTTTTTCAATGTTTTCGTTTGCTGAAGACGTGGTAGGACGTCCAGGACGGTCATCATCTTCAACGTTTTCTCTTCCACCGCAAAAGTGTTTATGCCATTCTAAAACGCGAGCTCTGGATAAGCATTCTTCACCATAAACTTCACTTAACATTCAAAACGATTTAATGTTAACACGTTCGGTTTTTAAATCTAACATTTTTCGGCAGTATTGTCGAACTAGCACTAATCACAAAGCTAATAACGTATGAAAAAATAAACCAATTTTGTCAATACTTATAGTACTTTTAGATTAGCGTTTCCTTATCGTATTTCAATAATCGTTTTATGGATTTATAGTTTATGTTATATATAGAAAGTCTCGTTATTTTTCTGTCACACCTCGTAATGCTTAGTATGCATATTGATATGTTTTTATAAACATTTGTCTTCAGATTGTTCCAGCTACACTGAAGAGACAAGCTAGACAAGATCCAAGAGGACCCAGAACCACACCAGGAGGTAGGCCTGAAGGCGGTCGGTCAGGTGAAGACAGAGCAACATATAGGCGGGCTCCAGGTGCACCTGGTACAGACAAGAAAGCTGAAGTGGGTGCTGGTACTGCTGAATTGGACTTTGTAAGTATAGTTAGGATTATAACAGATAAATAACTAAGTGGTTTTTTTTTTTAATACAACTTACAATTATATTAATCATACCTTTTTATGTTAATTCAGAGAGGACCTGGTGCATTTGGTGGATTTGGCCGTGGCAGAGCTCCACCTCAATAAATGTAATTAATTATTATATTACTTTTAAATAAACAAAAAATAAAAAAAGTATAAAATTTACAAATTTGTATTTTGTTTTCATTGTTTCTGACAATTTGCCTATATCTTTAATATCTTAGTAATATTTAAAATTAAATTTACCTATTAGTTAGATTTATACTACATATTATTTCCTAAACTGACAAACTTCTCTACACACTCACACACACAGAATATTAATGACTAATTACCTAGGCTCAGAACTTAAAACATTAAAAAACAATGAAATATATGAACACGTATGCTTTAAATAAACCTCTAATGTGCAGTACTAAAGTATGTATATACCTGTCTTAGTATGCTTATAATCTTAAAATATGTAAAATATACAACATTTTATTTTGGTTGAATGTATCATGAAACCCATTAGTATTGAATCAAATATTGAATAAGCAGTTTCCCAAGATATATAATTGCAAATGTATGAAGAACCGAGCCTCGGTAATAGCTAGACTCAATTCAGAATAAGAGTACACTAGCTATTTGTCTTTTTATTCATTAAAATGTTAAGATGACTTAAGTGTTTAGTAGAAGGGCAAGCAAGAGGTTAATTCATGAACTAAAGTCTGCTATGAAACATCAAGTTATTTTATTAACGCATATGGCATTATGGCGTGGGTATAGATAGATAGTGTGATTTGTAGTATTGGGTAAGTTACTTTTTAAAATTAATAAAGTTACGTGACTAGTTACAAAATAAAATAGGTTACTAGATTACTTGTTAGTTACTCGAGTACAAAAGTAATGTGTAACGTTCCATTTTTTACTCAAAAGTAACTAGTTACAATGACGCTATTCTTATGTTATTAGCAGTAATCCGTACACGACCGTCTGTTCATATGTCGATATACATATATGATCTAAAAATAAATAAACTACAATCAATGTATATCAATTGCTGCCTTAATACACTGTAATCGATGATTATAATAATAAATAATATTAAGACAAAATCGTTTATTTATATAATTAAAATTTTTATTAGATCATACTAGGAAAATGTTGTAATTACATAAATACCTACCTAAATTATTAATATAATAAAATTTTCTGATGTGGATACAAGGGGAAGGACTGTCGTGAAGAAGCAATACGTTACTACCCAACTCTGGTGATTCATCTCGTGTAACTTGAGCATATCGCATAGGCACATAGCTATTTAAGTATATTAGTTCATAGTTGGTAAGTAGAAGGAATAATATAGTATGTATCTTAAGGAGTTATTTTCATACCGTCATTCTTTTACAGATATGAGAGAAATGAATCAACATAAAGCTAATAAATTATATTCCGTGTTAGTATCATGAATAAATTATGAGCCTTTTGATTTAATATCTTAAAATATTATGATGTTTAAAAAGGCAACCATTATTTAAAAATAGGATAATATTTTTACTATTTAAAATACTAAAATTTTGGGGTGTCACCAATGGGTGACTTCCCCCCTCCCGTAAATCATCCTCATCAAATTTACCAATTGTAATAACAGATTGTATATAAAATTTTGTTCAATAAAAAAAAAAAAATACTTATAAAGAATATTATATTAATAATGAACTTGCCATGGATCACCATCATTTTTGTGAAATTAATTATTTAATCTAATTTGAAAAATTAGAAATTAATCACTTATTTCTAAACAATAATACTAGAAATATAAATATTTTCTTGCACACAATTGTATTAAAAGGTTAAAATTATAGTGTTTTTATAATTATAGGTAGGTATACTATAATAATAAATTAAAATATTTTATTAAATTTTGAGTAAGGAGGTGTGTTCTATAATATTATGATCTTGGAATAGTGCCCTGTCCTTAAAGTTAGAAAACAAACAAGTTAAACCATTTTTAGTCAAGTGACTAATATTTTAGGAGTTGTTGTTTATACTGTATCTTTAATTTTTAAATTACTTAATTGGAGGCTGAATTAAAAATTGAGACTAGATTTTTAATATTTTTCAAATTTTGTAACAATAGCTTTTTTACCCAACAATTTACATTTTATTGACATTCATTGAAAAAAACAACAAAAAAAATTGGAAACTGAAAATGTCCTCAAACAGTTCAAAATATTTTAACCGTGTATAGAAAATAATATCTACGGTATAACTAATATAATCTACGGTAATTTGTTTTAGAGTTACACCAATAAAAACCAAAATCGATTTTGCTTAAAATTTCCCGTTTTTCCTTAATTTCTATTTGTTTTTTCCGACGCTTTTGACAACTACTGGAAACGTTAAATTTTGAACCAAAAGTACCAACTAGATTCACTTTCCCACCGGAAAAGATACTGAAAACGAAATATTATTTCAACCACTTACCATGTACAGACAAAAAATAAAAATAAAAATAAAAAAACCAATCATTATTGTAAAATTATTACATTCATCGCTCCTCTCAGAATCTTAAAAGCTTTATTAATTAATATGTAATTGTTTATTTTCATGTATGCTGTATGCATTTATACATATACTCTAATTACATTACTCAGATGACAGATCACAATGGTTGGTCTTAGGACTGAGAGGTGGTGGTGAGTGTGTGGGTAAATGTTTCACCCCACCCCCCCTAAACATGACCAAATTACGCCACTGATTGCTATAATGGCTGTACATAATATTGTACATCCATTGATCATAAATGGAACATCATATAAGATTATCTCTCGACTCTTTTAATAAACCTAATGTCTGCAATACCTAAGAATATAATTTGTATATTAATTTATATTATATTGTATACTATGTACATTGTACAGACGTACAGTGTACACGCTTTTGCCTTTTGACATTGTTCCTTTTTTGTTTGGTACATGCAATGCGAGTACGTTTCCCAGTATCTACATATTCCCATAATATTAGTGATGGTTATTTTTATGTACATACGACCTACCTGCTATGTACATTGTATATTACCTATCTAAAATCTATATAGGTACTATATTTAGTTAATTATAATATATTTACAGGGTGTACGCAGATGTTTTCAGTGGAAGAGGTTTTATAAAGGCTACGTATATGTTTATAATATTTTATATTAAAATATTTAATAAGTTTTATTAATTTTTATATATTTATACATACCTATAGTAAAAAATACAAAGGGAGGAGTTCCCCCATGTGTGTACTCCACTGTATATTTATATATAGGTAATTTAATTTACATTTATAATAATAAAGAATTCAGAGTCTATCACAATTTACAGATAAACCAGGCACAATTTTGAGAATAAAACGGGAGAATGGCCCGGGATTACCTTTATTGTTGGGTCCGGCAATACCAGGTAATAAAAAGGTCCATGGTAAATAACTCTGCCCGAAAATATAAATGTAATATGTATAAATATAAATATGTATGTATGCAAATATATTTATTATTTATATAATAGTATAATGCATATAAATATTTTATATTAATTCATTCGTTTACATAATATACAAATAGTACAGTGGCGTATCTAGGATTTTTTTCTAGGGAGTGATATGACCCAAACTATTTTGCACATTAGGGCCTGCGGGGGACAAATTTTTAGGATATCTGTCCCCAAGCTCTTCCTCTTGCTATCTTACCTTTCCGTAAAGTGCACTTTTATAAGCCATGATTTTACTTAAAACTATACCAACATTTATAATATTATACATTAATTATTTTTACAATAATATATTGTTGACTGTTGAGTTAATTTGTAGAAGTTCACAAAATAATATTCATTTGTCTTGGTTTTCGAGATATTTCTTTCAACACTTCGTCTTCATTAATGTCAATATCGCGATGAATGCTTAACATCGCTAAACCATTTTGTCTCTTCTAAATTGAAAAAATAAAACATTACAAAATGCATAGGTTAGGTAATGTATTATTTCAGTATTACTTCAGATATCGTGACGCGTAGATATGATTTAATCCTTTTTAAACTTGAAAATGACCGTTCGGGTATTAAAAATACAGTATGTATTCTTCATATTTAAATACAGGAGTTTCTAAGGAGCACAGATTTTTAACATAAATGATTTGGTTTATTTGTTGGAATTTTAAAATCGTATAGCGTAGACTTGAAATTTTCATCGGATAATGATGGTAAAACTTTTTTCAGTAAGAAGTTCATTATTTTTTGATCAAGAACTCACAACTTGTGAAATTTTCATGTATCTACAGTTATTCGTTTTTGAATTACAACAAAATAAGGAAATCGCTACATGAGAAATCAAGTGAATATCCAATGTTGTAAAAATTTGAATTTCAAACGCTCATAAAAATTTAATTTGTCTTTCCGGTAGAAATTTTTTTTATTGATAAATATAGACAAACTTATGAGGAATCTTGTAATACATTTTCAAATCTTAGATTTAAAAAGAAAAATTTTTACGAATTCTTAACTCAAAATAATTTGCTAGTTTTCGTGATTTTTCCATATTTTGTCAATAAAACTATACCAACATTTATAGTAAGTACGAAACATTTTCCGTTTTTAATATTAATTTTAATGTTAATTATGATTCGAAAAAGTTGATAATTTCAAGTATTCAATTACAGTTCGCAATAATATAAAATTTAAATTTTACAAAGTGCTTCGTAGGATTTATAAACAATTGTCTGGCGAGTTCAATTTTTTTTCAGAATCAAAATCGAACAACGGGAACTAACTTTGATTTTGTCAATACTTTAGGTCTTTTCAGCTAAAATTGACGGCAGTAGCGAGGACCCATAATGCAAGTTGATAAATCATTAGTCAGTGTTTATTAAAAAGAATATTTTTTTTAAAACAAAATTACCATGTTTTTATAATATTATTAAGTCGTCTTTCTTTAAGAAGAGCCATGTTTCACCATGAGATGAATATCAATTTCATCAGTTAAATATTTGTTACAATTTAATAAGCGATCTACTCCCGTAGTAGAACGAAAATAATATTCTTCACAATCTTCAATTTACTGAAGTTGTGCTCGCTTGATGTAGT